TCACATAGACTTGTCGACTGGGGTTGTGAAACCTTGTCGGGGACCCTTTCAAAACCACAAAAGACCGCGGAAATATTTCTATTTTCTAAAGTAAAATGTTAACTTCAACACAAATATTTCGTGACCTTCGGTAGTTAATTTGCTTCCAAATGAGCACTCTCGGTCGGATTTGATAGCGATTTTTGGTCGTTTTTGATGACTTCAATGTTTATTATTAATCAAAACTTGGGTTAGTTAATTTGCATTTCTGAAATACGCCCATAAACGATGCGATGTTGATGTACGAGTGATCGGTTTTGTTTGTTGAAGGCACCCTCTGTACCCCCTTCTGGCGGTGCTCTTTCGGCGATGTGAGACTGGCACAGTTAGGCCCAGTTCTCCACCTCCAATGGACATCTTCAACGAGGAGTTGCGAGAATTCATCGGGCGGATCACGCCATCTTCGAGCCAATCACAACGAAGAATTCAATCCCCTCAGTACTCACCTCACCAAACCAACAACTCCTCATCCTCCCGCGCCAATCTGCCACCCTCGGGCAAGGGTGTTGATAAGGTGGATCGTGGGGGCGATGGTCTTCACTCCGAAGATATCCCCCTCAACGTCTTCATGTCTGATCCAGAGCTCAATGAGCTTGTAAGCAGTCACAAGTTGTGTATTTTGTTTTAACCGTTGGTCGCTATTTGAGTAATCCGACTCCAGCCAATCAAAACGCGAGTTTAATGTACATATTGATCGATAATATTCGGGAGCAGTTAACCAGTACCCTACTTCCCTCACACTCTCATATATAGTTATTTGTTTCGTTTTTGAGGTACTGAGACGAAATATAACCCAGTTACTGCATTGGTCCGTCTTTCTGATCGTTGATTGGCTTGTTTTGCAGATATTCTTGGCCGTGAAGGTGCTTCGGATACACCTGCAGGAGTTGCACAAGGTCAACGAGCTCTCGAAAGACTTCTGCTCGCGCTACATCACCAGCCTCAAGACGAAGTTTCAGTCTGACCTTCTGCGATTCCAAGGTGAGTCCACGTCATGCCTTCTGTTTGGGGCGTGTGCATTTAGCTAGTTTTGTCAACAAGTGAACAATTTACAACGCCTCACCTCCTGCGCCTTCATCTCAAAAGAATAAGCAAGAGGTGGAAAGAGGGTGGGTGGTATAGTGACTCCGTGTTTTTCTGTCTGGCTGTTTGTCTGTTAGCCACTGCCCTGCAACTAATCCGAAAATTTTGCGCCAAACGCCCCAAAAATTGAGTCTAGCAAAATAGAAAAAAAAACAACCTAGTGAAAATGCCTTCCTGGAAGGATGTGTCATTAATACGATTGATGTACGCTTGAAAACTACGCGAGGCGTTCAAACTGACTGCCCAAATAGCACGCTGCTTCAGTAAAACAACAAAGGTGGCGCGCGATGTGTGTGTTGTGTAGACTCCCCAAACGGTGCTGCATCACGCGATATTTTGGTGACATGCATCCCAATAAAATTTGCTCAAACAGCCAAATATTAATACGGTGGGGTGGGAGGGGGCGGAGTTGGGGGTGGGATGGAAGGAGGGCTGTAGTCAGCGTCGGATGAATTCTTGATTAGGTGAATGAGAAGTGAGCAGATAAAAGGCCGGGGCGTTATTGTCAATCGCGTGTGCCGGCAAGTCGAGGAATCGCGTGCGTCGTTTGAAGACGCGACATCGCAGTAGCTTACTCTGTCATACACACACACACATTCATACAAGCTAAGGGAATATTTAACGAGGCTGGAGTGCCTTCAGCTTAATTAGTTTTGGCCTGTTGGCAAAAACGTTGGAAATGACTTCCACACGGACGACAGATGATAAACACACCCGTATTTGCGCTGCCACTTGCTTCAGACGATGTTAAAGAAGACATTACACCTGGAAATTGGAACTTGGCAGCTACCAAATGCAGACGTCAAGCGTCGAAACATATTTTCTTCTTAGTTCCGTTGGGTTGGTTCCACGAGATAACTCACTTGTACAAAATTCCCAGGATCTTCCAATCGACTGCACAAGAATTTCAATTACGACAATGTATAACATGTCAGAGACAGGCATTCCATCAATTCTGAGAAGGGAGACCGCTTCTATGCACACATCGATTTGATTGGCTGAGGTACAAAGGTCAAGGTACCACGGTTGGTACAAATCAGAAGGCGGAAATAGCCTTTATTTGAACTAACACTACTTGAAAAGACCATTTTCTGCGACCTAATAGAAATCGAAGCATTGGAAAACGCCTCCAGCCTGTGCGCACGCTGATTGGCTGATTCTGAAATGTATTTTTTTTTCAACCTCTCACTATTTACGAAGTCACAAACGCGTCACAGGTTTCTGATTGCATCGAAATTTTCTCACGCATGTTGTAGAACATGGTATATCGCTAAACTAAAAATTACTCTGCACAGCGCTACGTGATTGGCTGTCGACCGAGAAGACAATTTGCACACTCCCACGATAGACGCCTAAAAATTCACGTAGGCAGCCAAACGAACTCAAGTCAATGCAGCCCGAAGCAGACGCCATGAGAATCAATCACGTGTCACCTACGGTAAACGTATATTTCGGTGACAATGCTGGCATGAAAAATGCGATCTTCGTTCTACTTTGTCAAGTAACGTAAAAGTAATTAATTGAACCAAGTTTGCACAGTTAGACACGCTCTTGACGCTGACGCAATTCAGCTACCAATTACTGCGCCCCAGTCTCGTCACCTGTCAATCAATTTCGACTTGTAATTCGGTGAATCAAGCATCCTTTTGCACACACACGCAGCATCTCGCGGCCTCGTCTAACACATCACCAAACCAAATCGGTTTTTTTTTGTTGTTACGGTAGTAAGCCAGTTTAAATGTAAACCAGATGTGTTTATTTCCAGCAAAATGATGCACCAGCACGCGGTTATGCCAGAATTGGCGTCGTGGAGACACAACTGAGAAAAAACCGTCATAGTCAAACTGTGTTAATTTACTAGGCACGCACTGGTGTGATTTCTACTCACGTGCGTCCAACGGCACGCTAATACTAATCGATATTTTCATTCTAGAAGCTGATTGGTGTTTCAATCAGATGCACCTGATTGGATGTGGTTAAATTATTGATTAGACTAGTTCAAAATAAGATTATATTAGGGTTTGAATCGCGTAATTTGCATTATGTTGCAATGATTAAGGAAGTTGGTGATGGTGTGTCCAGAGAAATACTTTGAGCTCCTATTTACACGATTAAGCCCTTAACTTCTCTTGTAATGCCTGGTATTTAATTGCATTGTTGCCCAATTAGCCACGGGTAGATCAACAGCTTGTGGTCTGCGAAATGACACTGTCGTCGCATTCGATAATTCCGGGTCGGAATGTTACCATGAATGACCTTGAAGAGTGCAATTGTTGTTGTCATGGTAATCAACACAACGGCTCGTCTGACCACGACCGAAGGCGCCATCATCTGACAGGCCGCACAGTGATCGCGTCCCAAGTCGTCACGTGTTCACGCACGCGGGAACGCGTAATGCAGCGTCTTTACCGTGGAGACGCTTGCAAATTGGAGAGTTAAACGCTTCATACTGGCCGGACATCACTGCTCCCTTTTGTATCTTTCACGCGCCTGAACGACTAGTGAAAGTGACACAAAAACCGTAGATAACACCGGTGTCAAGCGAAAAGTTGAATTTTGCAAATTTAAAACACGCGTACAGCGACAGAGGTTAAAGAAAAATTGGTAGTGATTGGCTAACTGGGTCTTGTAATTATGCTCTGTTACCCCTGTACAGATTCCGAGCCGCCGTCTCCAGCCGGTTCTGAGGGGATGTCTCCCTTCACCCCCGGCTCCTACCCCCCACGCCTCCCACAGGGGAACAGCGAGTACCCAGGGTACAATCTCGGTGGAATCCTGGCAAGTTTGTCTCGGTTACTAACGCATACATGGTTTGGGCTAGGTAGCCGGCAGATCAGAATTCACAAAATGTGGTTTGGAGTTGGCTACATGGAATGTGTGTGCAGGTGGTAGTTTTGTAAAGTGATCTGACCAGCAACTTTGTGTTTTACTAGGCCTACAGCGGTGTAAATGACGGCGGAGTTGATAGCTACCCCCACCGGTCGCAGTTTGGAGACACGCCGAATCCCGACAGCCCTGAACTGCCCACCTACTCGGCCAGTTACATGAACGAGCTCAAAATAAATGGATCAGGAGTTGGTGGCGGTGGTGGTGGTGGCGGCGGTGGTTCCAGCACTACCTCCTTCCTCCAGAACCGTGTGGTAGCTGCTCTCAACGGTCTAGATGCCATTGGCGGATCGAGAACGAAGCGTGGGGTTCTGCCCAAACGCGCGACCCAGGTCATGAAGCAGTGGCTTTTCCAGCATCTCGTTGTAAGCGTCTTATTAGAATTAAGTGTGATGGTGAAAGCGGTGATGCTTAGCATGTCTTTGTTTAAAACAAGTCAGGTTTTTGAAATAGCCGCCCTTGGCTTCATGCCCACCCAATTAAATGGTGTCTAAAAAAATCAGGGTGACGTTTAGGCCTGTTAATATCCAAAATAGTTATCGTGAGCCCCAATCATGATTGGCTACGCTTTCCGCGCTACATACAAAAATGACCTTGAACCCGCCTGCGCGAACGAATGGGAGGTTCTGGCAGTGTTGAAGAACGGGGCGTTAACCAGCACCGTCAATGATGGTACATTTCATTAACCGGCATTCGCTTGTTGAAGGGCCACACCGAGACTGCGTCTGAGTCACATGTTCTAACGCGCGTTTGTTTATGCATGAGAATATGCGAGTGTGCGTGAGTGTCTGATGTACTTCCTCCTGGATTGGAGGAGAGGGGGGAGGGTGGCGGTGGTTTTTTTTTGTAATTGAAGGTCGGCCTGTTGTTGATTCCGCGTTGTGCTCGCGTTTTTGTGAAAACCCCCCGCAAGTTACTCGTACCAACACGAAATCACCATCCGCCACGCTGGTGTTTTCTTCACTCGATACCGGAAACACAAACCGCTTTCCTGTCCGTTCTCGCCTCGAAATCGGCTATCCACGCCTCTTCGGTTGTCCAATCAAAATCGTCCACTCTTGGTTGTAATAGTTTTCGTTGAGTTCTCACTCGCTTGAGTCCAAATGATTGACACACTGCAGCCGGGACAATGCGTTTTGTGCGTGTGCTGGTGGACCAGCTGTCTCCGGTATTCACGGTGGCACTCCTTCACTGGCCAGATGTCAATCAGACGGGTTGAGCAAAGCTGTCGCCTCGTTCACAATTGCGTGCATCCGTAGCCGTCACGATATGCGACGTCGGACGTGTGCTGTGGTAGCTCGCACGGCAACGCTTCTTAATTCACATGCTGCAGTTGCTCGTGCGTTGACAATTCGTAGAAGTCTTCGTCGAGCAGTGCTAAATTTGGGCACGTTGGTGTGACATTTACACTCTATTCTCAAAATTGCTGTTCCTCTTAATTGGATTTTACCAAAATAGATGAAGTTATTTTCACACAAAACTAACTTATTCGCTGCCTCAAATCGGTGAGATGGGGTTATTTTAAAGTGGCAATCTGAGTGGAGAAAGATAAGGCTTCTAATTGACCAATTAGCGACCGCATTTTATGACGGATTTTCACACAAAACCAACTTATTCATTACCTTAGCTACTGTGGGAGATTTCACAGTGGTGATTTACGGTCCTGTGCAACGTTTAAAGCTTTCTTCAGTAGTATGTGAAAAACGGGCATTGAAAATTGGTGCATCCATGGCAGTTTAAGCTGCGCAATTCCGAGTGAGGGAAATGAAAATGGCGGCTCCCGATGCGGTTTAGGCAGCCTGGCATTTGGATAGGTGGGTTTGCGATGGTTTGTCATCATTTCACACAAAAGCTCAACTCATGCGAGACGCCAAGCGCTCAAACGCACCTGCTCTCCCAGTGGACATGCGTTTTCCGCGTGCATTGTCCGACACCGTTTGCGGACACGCTTGAGTAGGAGAATGAAACAGCGTTTTGCATGTAACCAACGCCCCCACATCGCTGAAACCGTGCCGAGAGTAGACTCTGAATCCCTCTATTACGCTAAAATCGATCGTTGTCGGGGTTTTACCTAGTTTGAGAGCGATTTTCACAAGTCGTTCAATAGTTTTGAATTGGTGAGTTTATCATTGGTTGGTCCGATTCTACCTCTCCCGGGATTAGTTGATTTTGTTGACTTTCATTGGTTGATTCGCTTGCGACTTTAATGTCACACAGCAAAAATTTTTCTGTTTTTGTGGTTTAAGATCCTGTAAAAGCCAAAAATCTAAATTGAATCGACCCATCCTTTCAACCCCAGAATGGAAATGAGACAGCCTAGATTTGAATCAATCAACATTGGCTTCGCGCTGCAACTGTGTTCTGTATCGGCAAGGTGAATACAGACACGAGATAGTGTATTAATCATGGCGCGGAAAATTTAGGCAAGTTAAAAGAACCACACGTAAATAAACATCGCCTGTTGTGATAAACGAGGCCAGTTTTTCACAAAACTACCAATGTCGTTTTGAGTAGGCGAGAGGCGATGAGGTCGCACGTTAACCGCGTGTCATCTTATAAGGGTGTTTGGGATCAAAACACAAGCGATTCCATAATTCGTGCACATGAGTATAATCCCCTCATTGTTGGCAATTCTCTTCATTAAAACCGCCAATAATTGCACAATCAAAGTCATTTGCCAAGGCATTAGAGGCAGTGGAAGAAGTTCTGGAGTATGTCGGTGTGTTGGTGTTCATTCAGGAGAGTTCCGTACTGATTTTTTTCAACCCTTAGCACCCCTATCCGACAGAGGACGAGAAACGGCAGATTGCGGGCCAGACGAACCTCACACTGCTGCAGGTCAACAATTGGTTCATCAACGCCAGACGTCGGATCCTGCAGCCCATGCTGGAGTCCACCGGTCCGTATTCTTCGTTCAGTAGGTCCACCACCAAAGCTGGCGAAGGTGCCATGGCGTGGGGTGGGCATAAGTCAAAAAACACCGATCAGCCATTGGTTAATAAAAAGAAGAAAGCAGCTACCGCTAGGTGAGTTGTCATTGGATGTCTCAATTTGACAAAATTGAGCCCCAAAATTCGACAGAATGATGTGGATGTATCAGATTGTCCAGCGGTCAGCAATCGATATCGATTCCAGTGACACCCATTCACAAATTGCTAGCCAAAAAGTAACCAACGAGAGTTGAGGTTCGTGCAGGTGGACGTCTTGAGAATTGAGTGAATCTATTCAATTTTTTGATGAAATGAAGAATTATCGATTCTTTCAATTGACTTGGCAGGTAGCGAAATTCCCTGTACCGCCTTTAAGTTGGATTCATAATAGTTGAAGGTAATTTTGACTCCATTTGTGCTGGTTGCCTAAAAATGATACAAAAATCTGACTTTGTTTGACTCCATCTTGTGTTGCCATTCTATTAAGACAAGCGAAATTCTTTAAAGGCAAATAGACAATTTAAATTGTGTTGGCATTTTCAAATCGACCCGCGCACGCATTTCATTGGTTTGATCCCATTTGGAGGGTGCTACTCATTCTATTGGTTGCCAATCGCCCAAAGTGTGTGTAACTGGCGAAACCGCATGTTTTAATAAACGTTTCGGTTGGCTGTGGCTTTTTTTGGTCAGTGGATGTACCTCTCCTAGCGAACTGATCACTGGTAAAATGTTCCACTGCCAACGACAAAAAAACAGATAAATGAAGTAATTTGCATAAAATTTCTTACCCAATTTAGACCCTCAAACAATCGATTTTGGCCAGCCAGCCTCGCGGCCGCAGCTGTTCTCCTTCCAAACGCCTCCGGATTGATTTCAGGCAGTTCTTCCTGCGCTCGCAGCGCCGAGACAGCGTTGGCCTGGGCGAAATCGCGCACAGGTTCCACAAGTCCTGGAGCAGCCGTCGCTGGCGCTTCCAACGGTGATTCCTCACCGTCTTCCACGAATCCCCATCACCCTCGAACACGGAAGCTCTCGGAGAGCGAGGCGGAGGAGATGCGACACGCGGGAGGCTATGGGGACCTCGGATTCCGTCGATTCGGCTCCTACGGTTATCAGGAGGGAGGCATGGCGGGTGGAAGGAATCTCTGCGTATCGACTCCGAGTAAGCGAGGTGCCTGTGTTGCTTGCATGCTTTCACGTTGACTCGTTGCTTTTAAAGCCACGAAAATGCAAGTGAGATTACTTGGCAGAAGTGCTCAATAGTTAAAGGTAATCTTAAAAACAATTATTCGGTTTTAGAGACAGAGGCTACCGACCAACTGAACCAGGTTGCCTATGTTGGACGGTCGTCAAGTGCAGCCAATTCTTACCAATCATTTTTGCACCAGGCCGTAATTCAACAGCAGCAGCAGCAGCAACTTCAACATCATCATCATCATCAGCAGCAGCAACTGCATCATCACCATCACCATCATCACCACAACCATAATTCACAGACCGCCGATGACATCAAGCCTCCAGCACCGCCGTCTTCCGATAACCACTTCTGCGCCAGCCTCACCGACTACAGCAATTGGACCCACTTCCTCGAAGATCGCCAGTCGTCGTGTGACTACGTCGCGGCTCTGGGGCCATACGCGCGGCCTGACGAAGGCATCTACTTCCACGGCCAACAGATGCAGTGGTCGTTCAACGCTAACAACGCCTCACAATCGACGCAGTCCGCCTCAGACACCAGGTGGGCTGGAGGCGGTGTGGCCTATTCCAGCGCGGCCTTCGCGACAGGCGGCGCTGTTGCCATAGAGACGGAGCGACCTGCTGCAATGTGACGTCACTCTTCATCTACGCAAAGGATACGGCAATAATGATTTGTGCTCTATTGATTCTTAACTTCTGCGCCATGTGCGTCCCCAAGTGTGTACAGATTGTGAGAGCACATGGTTTTTCGGGTTGATGTCCTGTCCCTTTTTGTACATAAATTGAGGTGACCAAGCGTGAACAAATAAAGAAAGTGTTTTGTTTCATTATGTGTAAGTTTTCTTCGGTAAAAGTGTCAAGTTTGTTTAAAACGGTGGATGGGCGGGGGATTTGAAACTGGCAACCAGACCGGAAGCTTGCCGGTTATTGGCAATCAATTCAGTGGAAGTTAAACATGCTATCGATCGATATGAACGGAGTCATATTGGTTCAAGAGTTTTAGAAATTAGGACGAAGAATAGGATTGGGTCAGGTTAGGCCTGTCATGCAGACGAATGCCTTTGTAACAAGGTTTTTGCTAAAGCTATGGGTTGAAGCCTTTATTCCCTATGAGTAATACGCAAACGCTCGTAATCTCTCACGATTTTAGAATCAAAGACGTAAACAACTCCCTCTAAGAATTGTTTTGTGTGAAAATCTGGCGAAATTACGAGAGATCTGAAGTTGGTTTGCTTAGCAGTTCAGGCACATTAGTGTAGTAGACTATTCACGGTGTCTAATTTACGACAATCCGGATGATTTCCTCCTAAAGTTAGCCGGGTCCTTGTGGTTAGGTCTTTCAAACAATACGCTGTGATTCAAAACTGGAGCGTATTTTAGGGTGTATTTTAAACAAACGACAGGAACGAAAAAGGTAGATAGAAACGCTGAGTTTTGCCCTACATAATTTATTGGTTTGGAAACTTGTGGCATTTTACAACCATGGCTCCTTCATACATCCTGTACATGCGCATGTTTTTTTCAGACAATAATCATGAAAATTTCCTGATTGGTCAATAATAATTAGCGTCTCTCGCACAAGTTTTGTCAAAAAGATAATCTTAGTTGGTAGTAATGATTGGCACTGGGGCATCTCTGCAAGTTGCGTCCGATTGGCGCCTAAAAAAGGAGCACTTGGTAAATTAGTCAAAACTAGAGGGCCCATTACGAAGTCTCGACCAATCAAAAGGAGGTTTTCTCGTGGCAAGTTAACTATTTGACGTCTTATCACTTAAAGGATCAACGACAGAATGTTAAATGAACGGACAAATTGCCGTTCCTCTTCCACAAGTTGTCTCGGAACATGTTGAGTGACTTGGGCTGACGTTTATCATTACGGATCTGATAGTAACAATGGCAGCGTAATTAACCTAGATTCTTCCAACGTAGACATCATTCTTGGACTATTTTAGAGCGTGTATTTGTAGCCCTTTACGGTTAAGATGCATTGTGCTTTCAGACATTTATTCAGAATTTTTGGATGGCGAAGATGATGATAACAACATTCTGGCCAGTAGACGAACAGTGACACAACAAAGCAATCAGAAAACCAATCGTGTGTGTGGCGGCCAAAAGTGCTGTCTAATGCGTCAGGGAAAATCGATATTTTATCGATTTCAAGCTTCAATTGCGTTGAGAACGCAACTCAGACAAATTTAATACTCTTTGAAGCCTCATGACGTCCTTGTAATTCGTCGAAATTACCTTAGAAACCGCAATAACAGATTCTAGAGATCAATTCCAATAACTCGCAGACGTTGATGAGAAGCCAGAACTCTGGTGTAGTGCGACGTCATCTCAATCTGATTCGTTCTCCTGCGTAATTAAGCTGGAGCTTGAAAAAAAGAATAAGCCCATATTTCCAAACACGTGCTTGACAAAATGCGCTGTGGTATCAGCGTGCCAACGATAAAGGGGCTCATTTGTGAAACGCCTCGAGTTAAAAGTAATCGACAAAATCAGGAGTGCCAACATCTGACGTACTTGAGAGCACCACGAACCCCTGATGAGTGGACAGTCTACTGTAAAAAGAGCAAAACTGACCCTCTTTTTCGGCTCCTTAACAAAATCCCACTAGCACGTGATTACTTCAGTAATACCTGCGTGACAAAGTTAGAGGGAGTCTTTAAAGCGCTCCACCTATTGGACGGTCTGCGCATCTGACGTGACCTTGAATCAACCAATAGGCGACAGGACCGTCTTGGGCACTCTGATACCCTTCAATGAAGACGATTTTTCTAACCAAAAGCAGTGATTTTTCAATAGTTGAATCTAGCAAAGTAGTCACGCGTGTTCATCTGGCCACAGTTTCTCTTAACGGTATTTATTGACATTACTTTTCGGCCAATGAGACAGTTAAAGCCCCATTCTAATGGGAACCTGAATAGAATAACAGATGTTCTGATCACTGTGAAGCAAAATAGCTTCGTGAACATTTACTGGCAAAAATTAAAGCCGGGTCCAAACAATCTATTCAGAAATCTTCCGGTATTGTCATTGGCTAACGATGAGCGTAGACTTGTTTCAAAAATAACAAAGTAAGACTACGCCACGGCGCCAGAATAACTCAAATCACCTCCACCAATGGAATGTCACCAGTTCTGAGCGCCTGATCTGGCAGCCGCCAACACTGAAAGCAGCTTGCAACCAGCCTCCATCCGTCTGTCTGGACGAGATGGCCAATGAAATTTGCTCCACGTACCAAAAGAAATGGAATCAAGAAACACGATTCATTTAGAGTGTTTGTCGACTAAAAAGAGAGCAGGAGGATGAAAGAAGGGAGGGCTAGGTATAAAAATGCACCGATTACATCGATTAGAAAAGGCGAGAATGGGAACAAGGTGACGATGGGACTTGGATGAAAAGGGTTGAAACAATTTGCGGTGCTACCGAACGCCTGTTAGCTCAGCGAAGCAGGCGTCGCAAACACGAAGCGGATCCTTCGAAGCCGAGGTTGCCGTCTTCTTCGACGAACAGGCCTGGCAGAAGACCTTGCCGCAGTGTCGACAATGGTGCTGGAAGGAGAGGAATTGAGCATCTTAAAATACGGCATTATTTCTAACATTGAAACCTCTACACAACTGGCGTCGGCTCACAGACACAACCAATATAGTTCGCGTTTGTCAAGGCCACGTGACCTTGGGCTGGCCAATAGAGTACAAGGTTGAGCGTACCATTTTGAAATCAAACCGTTTACCTTTCGAAAGCTAATGGAGAATTCCTTCTGGCAATTGGAGCAGCAGGTGGCGGACTCATCGGAAACCCATTGTCTGTTAGTCTGACGCTCCAGACTGATCTGAAAAAAAGTGGTAGTAACACTAGAAGACATCACACACGGGGGAGCCAAATTCACATCGCCTACTACCTGAAGCGCCTGATTCTGCCTGCCAAGATCAAGCACGATGCGCTGAAGGCTCTCTAGCTCGCGAGTGCACGTCTGCAATGCGAGCTCCAGTTGGTTTGCCTTGTCCTGGCACTCAATGAACCGATCCATGAGGGTCTGGTGCTCAGACTGGGTCGAGTCGATTTTGGACTGCATTTCGGCCATCGCCCTGGCGTGACTCTCTTGCTGGCTCCGCAGCAACGTCAGCTTGTCTGTGAGCTCTTGAACATTCTGCAGGAGCAGAGCCTCAGAGCTCGTCAGACGGCCAATGCTCGCGTCTGCTTCCGCCTAGGTTACGAAAACACCAAAATGACGGCGTGTCCGGGGCCAGATTTTCACACGAAACCAGTAATCACCAACCACCCACTGCTAAACTCACATCACCGAGTGCTCACAAGCTGATCATCTCAGCTGAACAAACAGATGCCCAACACACTTCAAGAAATAGTCTTGTTGGTAGAGTTGGAGCACAGATATAATCCGACGATATGGCTGTTTTTGCTCCAGTGAAGGAGGTGGTGGTGGTGGTGGTGAGGGAGGCCGGGGATTGTACGCATGATGGGCTTTTGATAAGCCCAAAGCGATAACACCCAGCGTCAATCAGCATTACCCGCTACGCCAAACAGAGCACGAACCACGGGGTAGGCACTAACTTACCAGCCGGGCGGTCAAGCTCTCGTTGGTCGCGACCACAGCGGTGTGCTCAAGGGTGAGGCTTTGAACCTGCTCAGTGAGCTGTTGGCATTCGCTCGACTTGGCTTCCATTTCGTTGGTGCGCTCCTCCATGTGCTTATTCAGTACCTGCGAAAGCAACAACGGCTAGAATCAGTGAACACTTGTCGTCGCATCATCCACAAGCCTTGTACGTATTTGAGAGTGTTGAGAGAGACTCACAGGCAAATCAACGAATGAAAGTCACTACGCGAGAAGTTAAACGGAAATTGCAAAAAAGGAGTTCAAGAACGTTTCGCTCACGTCCAGCAAACAACGCTCGAGAGCTCTAGTGAGCACGTCTCATGTAATCAGATCAAGTACACAGTGTGGCAAATCTGCAGCAGTAGACAGGAAACAGACCTCGATAAGAGCGTCTTTCTTTTCGAGGTGCGATCTCAGTTCCACGAGTGTACGCTCCAGGACGCCGCGATCTGCTTCCGCCGACCCAAGAGCACCTTCAGCATCGCGTAGCTTCGTCTCGCATTCTTGAAGCTGGTGTGTGAGATCAGACACCTGAAAAGGAACCAAACACTAGGAACTGTAGAAACGTGTCACCAAGGCAAAAGCGAGCCCACCACGATTACCTCCTCTGCGGACGCAATCTTCTCCGCCTTCAATTGGTTCAGAGCATTCGCAGACTTGGCCAGTCGTTCGGCCATCGTCGTCTTGATGCTGACAATTTCAGCCTAAAGGAGAAAACAGAGGCTGCTGGTGGTGGTGGCATTAAGGGGAGCACTGCAAGCTTGTACTGCCTCACCTCGTACTCGACCTTCAGACGCGTGACTTCCTTGTCCCGAGAGGCGAGCATCTCCGTGAGTTCTGTCCTGTTGCCTTCCAAAGTCCGAATCGTCTCGTTCAAGGAGTCCGTGTACTCTGTGAGGTCGCTGACCTGCTTCTTCAATGCCAGAACCTAGGCAACCGCCCAAGAAGGTTACTTTGAGTTAACAACGGTTTCGACAAACTACACACAAGCAACTGACCTTCAGCCGATTGCGAGGTTATTTTTTTAGTGTCAAGAGCTTCTAGGTTAACAGCACCACAAATCAGTGTTTAGAATGGGTGAAGGAACAAAGCAGAGGTAACTACAACTGGTGAAGATGTCTGTTAGCACCTTCAAAGTGGCCTTGAGAGGACCAATCAGGCTGAGAGCACTGACTGACCAACTGTTAGTGCGGGGAAAGCAAACGACCGATACGACCTTGAGAATGAGATAAAGGGACGCCTTTAACCCGAAGTAGAGCCCCCAATCGATGCAAAGCCAACTTTTTCGAAAGGCGCATGGTCGACGATTCAGTGACCTTGAGGGCACCAATCAGACTGCAAGAAACGCGGTGATTTTTGGCGTTGTGCTGAGAAGATACGCAGGAAAAGTGTTCAGATTTTGAAATTGGAGCGGTCTGTTGCTATTGGTGGAAAACTTGGCATTAGGCGCTTGGGAATGGAGGTGCTAATTTAGACCATTTGTTCACGGAATCCGATGATTGGTGAAATTGTTCACTGGCAACGAGGCATACTTTGTTGACAAGGCGTCGTAAACTTGCCAGACAAATGCCCCCAGTTACACGTGCGAGCTAAAATTGTGCGCACTAGGGATTTCAGTGATTACGAGGGTCATTAATTAACTAATTAATTAAATTAACCATCAGTGAGATACGTGCCTACAGCTGGCACAGCCAACTTTCGCAGCATTTTATCCACTAAAATCCACAGGCTTAAGTAGGCGAGCACACAAACGTGAAGGTGCGTGTTAGCGATGCTGCGAGAAAAGGCATGATCTACGAGTAGGGCCAATGCCTCTTGTCCCGAATGCGCTATCGCGATTGGCAAAAAAACCCCTGACTATCATACTTTGTGGTCTCAAGCACAAGCAAACAAACACGCACAGTTAATCTTGGCCGAATTGGAGCTAGACGTTAGGCAAATGTGTCTGGAATTCGACGAGCTGAATGGGCAAAAGTTAGAAGCACTACAAATTTAGCCAATGAGAGTGAGGGAATGCACCAGCCAATGAGCACACGCGATCTCAAGGTCATCGAATGGATTGGCTGGTTTTTTTAAATATGGACTCAGCTTTCTTTAAGTTGGCGTTTTACAAGATCCGCAGACCGACTCGCAACGATTGAGACAATGTGTGTAGATGAGAATACCTCGGCTGAAAGTTGATTCTTTTCTGAGGCAAATTTTGTCGCATATGGTTGAACCGTTTCGGGGTGTGATGATTCCTTTGCCATTGGCAACGCCTGAATATCATCCAGAGCGCACCGCTCAGACTGAAACGATAAACGAACAAGTTAAAACAAAATTACCAGGCAATCATCCAGCCGCTGAAAAACTACAGCCAATACTGACATTGAACGAGTTGAGTTCGTCTTTGATTTGACCCAATTGGCTCTCCAGTTGATCGCTCGTGCCTTCACGCAGCATCTGCGACTGCAATTCATTCAACTACGGAAAGAGCACATGCTCGAGGTTTTAAAAAACAACTACTAATAATAATAAAGTAGAAAAGGTATACCTTTTCTAAAAGATCATAACGTTTGCGCACAGCTGCTTCTAATTCGCGTTGAGCCTGGTGTAGGGTCGCGGCATTAGTTACAATCGTGTCTTTGGAGTTCTCGCCCGCCTCCTGACTGGTTTCACACGACTAGAAAGTGGTTTGAAAAAACCTGGGTTGGTTAAAATTAGTTTCTTCAGGGTCTGAAACGTCCACACAACGCGTCTCACCCTGGTTTCACCATCGAGCAAGCTCTGAGGAGCATTTGCGTCCTTAGCAGGGAGGTCCTGTTGCGATTTCTGGAGCTTCGATTCGAGCTCCGCGATCAGGCGAGTTTTGGTCTCCTACAAACAGGAAATGCGAATCAGCAAGCACCTCATTGGCCAGGCCTCCCGACCAATCACCTCAAAGGCAGCATAGTTGGGGAGAATTTGACTAACAACGTCTCTCTCACTGATCGAACCGACTACCTTAAGGACATATTTTCTAAAACAGATCTTCCTGTGGCATCACTTTTTTAAAAAAAAAGACAAACGTAGTTACCAGGTCTAATTCCAGGTTTGTTGCTCGCTCGTTTGCCAGGAACTATAAGAGGTAGGCGTGGATACAATAAACGGTCCTACCAATTGATCTTTCAATTTGTTGACATCGCTCAGAGCAACATCACGCTGTTCGGTAATCTAAAATAAAGCCGGAACAATAATTTGCACAAATTTATCAATACATGGGTGTCAAGTATTTGATTTGACAATGCGCATCAATTTGTAGATTTTAAATCGACCGCGCTCTCATCCCATTGGTTCATCCTGACCTCGAGTATGCTAGCTATCTGATTGGCTGCAAATGTCGTTGATTTACACTTTTTAGAGGTACCCAATCTTCCGTCTAACTAACTAACTAACCTGTAGTACAAGGGCTGCATTTTGTGTTGCCCGTTCGGCTTCCGAGTTTAGGTAATCCGTCAAATTCTGGCGCAAACTGTTGTCTCTATAGGCATAAAAAAATCAAAAGAGAACAAACAGATTGTGGAGATTTTCCGGTGTCAGGGTGCCCGATGCGATAGACAAGAGAAGATTTTCCTAAAGGTAAAAAATTAATTCCCTTCCACCATGACACCTTACTAGAAGCATCGTCTTTGATTGGAGCTGATTCTTGGCTTTAGTTAGGGCCTGAATATTGTCTGCGTAGTCAGACGCGAGACGCCTGTAGTCCGCGAGAAGGTCGTTAACTGGAGAGGGTGGTAGAAGGGGTCTTGTGGACGTGGCCTCGACGACGTGGTGGTTCGTCGGTGGCTTCTCGATGTGGTTTTCTTCAAAGTGCGCCATCAGGGCTTCGTCGGAGGCTAAGTTGAGCATGCACTCGGGGCAGAGGAAACCTTCGGTTAGCTCCGACATGCCGCAATCTAAAACCGAGGAAGGGCGAAACTCAGAGGGAATCTGCGCAACTTTGAAATACGCAGATGGGAGTCGGCAGCGTGTGAAGGTGCGTGAAACGCCTCAAGGCACGTTGCTAATTTAAGAATAGTCGTAAGACGGTGTCTGTGAAGCTAGGGTGCAGTCCGCCTTGTCGTCGATCGCACGGAGACGGTCATCATATCGGATAGGTGGCCCACCTTAAACAAAGATTATGATTGCTTGGAAACCTCAAATTTTGTGCGGAATAAGCCTAAAAACCACAAGAGATTGCGATTGGGCACGAATTCAACCATATAGACAGCTCGTAGATCCCCCAAAAACAATAAATTTCGGCCAGCAATAACCCAGGATTTCCGCAGCTACAGTCACTGGCTACTTGCTGGCTGTTTTAACGACAGACCTAAATAATTGTTAAACATGTGTAATTTGTGCAATAACGCACAACACAAATATGTCCCAAGTGTAACATCGACAGATTTTGGCAAGAATCTTGGAGCGAAATAAAGGACATTTTTGGTTAATTTGCGCAGCGAAAAAATATGAAAGGCATACAAACACATTCGCACTGATTTACGCAAGAACAGAATGCCAAGATCACAATGGAACTTAAGAACAGCAATTTTTTTTAAAAAATACAATAAGGATACAAACATATTGGGGTGTGGTAAAACCAGGGTTACAGAAGGTCATGTTGGATTGATCTGTGCAGGATCCGAATTTTCAGGCTTTGCCGAAAGACGAAGGAGGTAGACAAGATTGCGTTGAAGAACCATTTGATATTGCATTGCTTCCTCAAAATCACCAATTACCAGTTTATTGTTGATCACGTCGATCAGTAGGTCATTTTCATCCATTAATCGATTTATGGTAAAAGCCGTCGGCAGTTCGCCAGTTCCAATTGTCCAGGACATCAGGCAGAAAAGCTGAAATTATGATGTTAAATAAACAGTTCTCTAGGTTTTAGGGGCGTTTGACAGTCAGAGGAATAGCTAAGCTAGGACAAGACCCATGGCCACGACTTTGCCGCTGGATATCCAAGGCGTTTTAACGGTGGGAGCACTATTAGTAAAGTAATGTTCATTGTTTCAATCACGACCCGTTTAAATTGCCAAGTAAATTGAAGTCCAAAATGGAAGGAGTAGGTATTTTTTCAACTAGTACTAGCACTAATCAGTAGCAGAGGTGTGTGATGTATAAAGAAGAATAGTAATTAAGAATGTTAATGAAAACGGTGTTCAATAACTATGGTGGAAATGAAACCAATAGCAAAATCGAAAAAAGCAACAACAGACAAAGTGCGATTATCTACAAATGCATGGCAAAATCCCACTTTCAAAAAATAAAAATAAATCGTACAAGAACGACAACGGGAACTAACGCAACGTAAATAAAACAATGTCGTGAAATTAACAGAGAAGTAACAACTGTAATTCAAGTAACATGTTGCGTGGAGTCGATGCCAGCATATATATCGGCACTGAAAAAAAAAAATGTAACACTAAAAATTTTTTTGCAAATTTAAGGCTAAGAGTCCCAAAAGTTGTGCAAGCACACCCCCGATGACAGGAAAATGGTAGTGATTAAAATGTACCGATTTACAGGAGCAAATTTGTTAAGATGCGTAAGTGGATATTAAACTTTAACTGTCAAAATTTACGTGGATAAAAATTAATCAAATAAATTAAAAATACAAAAAAACGAGTCACATACATCCAATCGGTCTAAAAGAGCTTAAATAACACGAGTTTATACTTGGCGCTGAAAGCGATAACTAATAAGATTTAGCACCTACTGGCCTATTGGAGAGCAACTTCGCCTTTACAGGCCAAGTGATTACTTTTATACTTGGCTGAGCAACATAAATGACTATGTTGCCTCTCGAACATTGCATACATGCATGCAACAGGAAACCCAATTAATACAAAGGTAAATAAAAAAATACTGAAGTCAACGAAAATTTCCCGAATTTTAAAAATCGTTTAACTTCAGTTCAAAAAAGGCCCCGGATAACATGTCATCCCATCGTGATGCGATAACAGGAGTTTCATCTAAGAAGAGAGACTGACCATTCATGAACCGTAGGAGAGACATGATCCCGACAAGCATACAGAGCATAACACAGACGAAGACTAGAAACTTCTAGAAGGATTTGTTCGGAGTACATTTATAGGGAGAATAAGAAAGGAAGAGAGCCAACTTGGTAAGGTATTCCGGAAGGAACGTTAAAGCCCATATTGCAGCTATTTGGCAGGCCTAGAAGAGTATGAATATAGGAAGAAATTACCAGGCATGAGTGGTGTTCAATGGCATTGAAAGTGGCATGCTTGACAACATGATAACTTGTATAGTCCAGCAAAAAAAAGCTCGATGTACACTCTTCTAAACCTTATTAATCACAACGGTTAAAATGTTAAAAAGGTCGAAAACAGTATTCACCAATTAGAAGGAAAAGCCTTCTGGGTCTATTTTTTATAAGCATGTAAGCACAAATAATTGAATTCATACGTTGCCCTTGATGTCAATAATATTGCTAAGGCTGTTCATAGTGCATACTTATTATTTCAATTGGCCATCGTCCGAGGTGTAATAATAGGGATCCGTCATTTAAATAATTGATGATGGCAGTACGTTGGATACCATATCAAATAACCATAAAGGGTTAAAATTTAGGAATAATCCTTCACAGACCAATTTTGTGCCAAGACATGACTGGAAGTTTTAACCAGTCTGAATCGCATACATTTATCTCCTGCGTTACTAAACATTTAATAATTTTCAGCGTTCTGTGTCAACGAAGAAAAATGCAATAGATCACACGTGAATTTGGACATTACAGGATAATATGGGCTCTGAAATGGGACTCAAACCCACTTGGAACCTTTAATCCATTTTAATAGTGTTAGTCAAGTTCTAAAAAAAATATATATCGAATAACGATAACGAAATATGTATAGTGATAACATGGTGGGAATTTCATTACAAAGTCCTGCTTGGATAACGCCGTAGTAAAAGAGAATAATATCTTTCTGTGGTTGCTAATTAGACAATAAATATATTCATTAGTTGAAAAATGTACCACCTACTGCCTGATGACTACATTTATTGTTCTGGTTGTGTGGGGTTAGTCTCACAGCAAATGAGAGTGCTTTGTAATGCCGAAAGATAGGTGAAATTTGAAAGATGCTTGAAGACTACTAAAGGATGTTTTAAAAAATATATAAAAATGTAAAATCAAAATCCATTCGTATTGGCGCAGATTACGCATGTTAACCAAACTCAACGTTAGCTTCGGAAATTAAGTTCGATTTTCTCACTACTTGATGAGGTTTGTTTTATCCATTTGTAATTTTGGAGTCAAATAATGACAAATGGCCACAAACAAAAGTGTGAGAGCTTGTCGATATTTGGTTGTCCGTTAAAGGCTTAATAATGCTTTATTTTAAGGTTTATTTAATGAATACAAAAGGTCTTTGGCAAGAATAGCCGCAGGATGATGCCAATAACTAGTAGGAATGATGACCGGAATTTTTCGATGAGGTATGCACCCATACATACTACGCAAATTTTAACACAGAGAATGCGATGAATACTTAAATAAAATGCAATATCAAGCATGAACTGCATGAATGCTGTGAAAAAAACAAAACGAGCAATAAAGATGCATTTTATAGCTAATAATTTAAACATTATCTTCTGACACAGTTAACGTTTGGCGTTAATGTTAACAAAATATCTATACTCTCTAGAAATACAGAATGATTTCTGCCATCAATGTGACTTAAGTGTTCTAAGCATTTTAGTTTAGGCTGCCTAAATATAACAGCTCCAAGGCGGTTAAAAATGCATAAATGCCTAAAGTTGTAATGATATTTATGCTTAAAGATTTTTCAAAATTTGATTACTTCGGCACCATTTACATTGAGTGAATTTTGTCTCGTTAACTTCTCAGTAGTTTAGGTAGCATTCATCATTCACCTAAGTTTCTAACTAATGTTAGTAATTTCTAAATTCAATCGCAAGTAATGTTAGCGCCTTTTGTTGTCTAAATTTTCACGTCTTGTTGACTATTTACAATACCAATTCCAATTTTAGACACACTCATTGGCTTAATATTCACTGCAAGTCAATTGGCTAACTTCTAGGTTTTGGCGGTTGTTGTAGTCGTTTTGTTGTCGTCGTCGTTTTGTGGTTAATGGTAAGACGATTTCGCTTTTAGTTATCTTTCAACTAGTTATCCATCCTCGAACTTCTTTCCTACACAACAATCCTTCTATATGGATTAGCGGTTATTTTTTGCGTTGCGATTGGTCTTTTCTACCTCGCCGAATTGGTCGAAGAATACACAGTCACCACAGGGAAAATTATCCGATACACTTTGTATTTCGTTATCCTTATTCAACTTTCATTTCCCTTTCTTGATGGGCTGTCATTTATTTTGGTTGTTGTGGGGGTAGTGGCTCATGTCGCCTACTTCCAACTTCTTGCCAAATTTCCCGCATTTAATTTCACATCACCCAGTTTTATTGTTTCCTGCCTTCTGTTTATAGCTCACCATATTGTTGCCTTTACTTCCGAGACTCTCTATGGTAGAGACTTTGTATACGTGCTTACTTACTTTACATTTTTTGTATGGACTGTTCCATTCATGTTTCTACTTTCGCTATCTGCAAATGATGATACGCTGCCTCAAACCGTGGACTACATCCGATATCCGGAGGCGAGACCACTTCTAGCTGGAAATGACGACTTGGTTTCAAGCTTTCTTAAAGGAAAGCGGCGTAGTCTCTTTTCCCTGCTTACATACCTTCGGGATAAGTTGCCTGATTTTCGTTCGAAAAAACTGTACTAGCCGATGGTATTCGGCGTCACCTGCCTTCCTATCTGCATGAAACAAGTGGTCATTAGCTTTCCGGGCCACATCTCTGGAGTCAATTATGCGCACCAGAATCCATTATGGCATCGCTTTCACTACCATTACGTGACATCTACGATTGGTTCATAATATTACGCTGCTCGCCTTTAATTTTCGAAGATGTTTTTAGAACCCCACCGGGAAAAAGTAAATCATTGCAATAACTCAGTTTAAACTGCGCTTTGATTAGGCCCGTGCAACGCACTTTCTTTCACCATTTGTTTGCGGTCCATTAGTTTATGTGCAAAGTGTAATCACCGATTTAACCAAGCCGTAAATGTTGACGTAACGTATCACCTGGGCTAACAATACACACGATAAGCGGGCCACGTTGCATTCTGTCATCTAAATTTGACCCATTGGATACAGAATATCCACTGAAATAATTGATGATGTTTGATATATCTGTTGATAGATTTTATCTGCCCTTCACAATAGTAGAAAGTGGCAAGTATGTATTAGTTTTGGCACATCCAGGGTAATTTAGAGGTAATAATAATTTTAACATCATTCTTAACTCGCGAGTACTTGTGGCAATGCGTTAGTTTGCGTGGAATGACTCCCAGCCGCAGAGGCGTGTTACCATGTCAATGGCTGAAAAAGACGAGGTCTTAAAATCGGTTATCAGGATTGTTTTCTTGTGATGACGCATTGATAATCGACATTTCGCCAACTTTGTTTTGGTCGCTACACCTTTACCTGAACCTGTATTTTTTGACTTAAACCGTTTCTTCTGGGGATTCGTCTCCATCTAAAACCAGTTCCTTCGACTTTATGGTAAGCAAATATGTGACTGGTAGGCTTTGGTGCACACCGCCAGCATTTTTGAGATTACCCCGTTTTCCGACCAAGGTTGCATTTTAAAAGTGGACCACGTTAGCACAGGCACGCAAGTCAGAAATAGAAGCAAGCCCTTGTGTGTATCACAAAATAGAATTTATTCAGATGATGGTGGAGCATCAGATTGCAAAATTTGAGGTTAGCATGTGATAAATAAATAAGGCAGGACAGTTTGCGTTAAATATTAGTCGAACTATTGTAAAATGTTAATTTAAAAAGTTTGGGTTAGGGAATTGGCAAGTACACAATGCAATTAGGATACCTTCCAGTGTACGACTGACTTCACGTATTTCGGAATTCTTCCTGAGCCATAAATTCCTGTATAATTGGTTCTTCGTTTTTGTACAGATCAACGTGAGAATCGAATCGATTTAGCCTCTGCTGATTCAGGAGGTTAATTTTATCCAAATTCAGCGAGCCTACAGAAGGTGAGCGAGGCAAGGCCACTACATCGTGGGGTAGGAATGTTGAAATTGAATTCAGGGAATTGCTTTTGTTGAAGGTGCATCCAGGCTGTGGCTCAGAGCCAAAGTCAATGCCCGTCAGAGCTTTTGGCTTTGCATATTGCATACAGTTTGTACGCCTGACTGGAGCAAAGTCTTGATAAACCTTATTTGGTCGGCTCATATATTGGTTTTCGAAGAAACCTGTTGCTGAAATCGGCAGGTATGCGAATCTCGGATCATACACCTGAACATACTGCTCAGGCAGCGACCCGCTTTCCCTAATGCGCAACTTTTCTGCAGCTAGTTCCAATTTTATTTGGTTTATTTGTAAAAGCAACTCGGCAGACTTGATTCGGCCTCCTGCACTGGTCTTAGGAATAGAATTTCTCACAACTTTAATTGGCTTCGGCTTCTGACTGAGAGACTTTTGTCCCAATGTGGTCTGAAGACAGATACTCCGCTTACGTATATTAGTCTCCGCATCTTTCGTTTTAGAGAACACCTCTGATGCTTCCTTCAGTTCAGGAAAATGGTTCGGTTTTTCTCGGACTGTCTCTCTGGCCTCCATGTTTTTAATGTCCTCTGCTACCTGTCTCGCTGCTACCATGTCCTCTTCTTTCTCCTTCTGTTTGAGTTCTTCCTCGCGTCTCTTTCGTTCCTCCATTTGTTGGATTAGCTGCTCTCGGTATTTTGCATTAGCCTGCTTTTGCTTTTCTGTCAGTGGTTCACCAAATATTCCATTGCCTCCACGAGTGAAGTTAGGTGTTTCGGTCTCGGATTTTTCTACAAGATTTGGGACGTTGTCTCTGATCTTTTGACCCAACTGATCATAAGTTTGCATCTCTGCGACTTTTCGTTGTTCTTCCTCAATACTCTTTTTCCGTTGCAATTCCCTAAGTCGTTGTCGTTCTTCAATTTGCTGTTGAAGTTCTTTGGCATAGTTGTTTTTTTCGAGTTTCTTCAAGCGTTCTCGTGAATGTGACGAACCGTATAGATTTAAGAAACGTCCTCTCCTGATAGCACTTTCTCTCAGTAAATCAGGAACATGTCCAGATGCATCATCTGATTTCTCTAAAAATGTAAGTTCAACAAAACTTTTCCTACCTCTGGAGTCATCCACTCTTTTGTTGTCCACTTGATCCAAGTTATCAGAGCACTTCAGTGACCTTATAATACTTTCCAAGTCGTGAAGGCGCTTTTCAGCGTCATTTACTATGTTATCACGTGATGCAGAATCCATTCTATTGTCGAAATTTCGTTCATTGCGAATTGATGAATCCAGATAGTTTGGTGTAAATGGTGCACGTCCAATTTTATCATCGTCTGACTCCATCGGTGATTTAAAACTCTTAAGGCTATTTACTGCTTCTTGAAGGTCATCTATTTTTTTGAGGAGAATATTCATGTAATCATCAGGATTCGTACCAACGGGTTTGCTGCTAACAAGCACATCGTTTCTTGGTACAGCTGGCAAAATGCCATCACTACTTTGCTGAACATTGCCGATCTTTTTGTCCGCAAATCGATTGCGGAACCTTTCTTCTTCAATCATTTTATACTTCTCGTATTCCAGCTTCATTTCCTGTTGCTTCCTACGTTTCTCGACAATTTCATCTCGGAAATTAAAAAATGTAATTGCATCATTTGACTTAGCATGGGTTTCCATACTGTGTATAATGACAATATGCTGTTTCAGCACTACCAATCTAAATATGCAAAAGACCCAACCAAGAATATTCAGCAAACACGGTGGCCTATCCCATGTGTTCGTAAAATCGCTAGCGTAGTTTCATCTTAAGTAAATAGGAGTAGGAAATTAAAACAAATTATTTGAGGGTTCTCAAACTTTGGCAAAGCTTCCCAACTGTTGGCTTATTCTCAACAAAACTTTTTGTTTTGCAGACGGCATAATGATACAAACATTATATATTGAGGTATGATTTGTTCACATTTGGTTTTACCAAAGTTAAACAGACAATTTTAGCAAATGCCACTTCGTTACTACAAGTAAATACTGCAACATACAGAAAACATTTACTGTTTAATTAAAATTTGTGGCTGTAATTTATCTTTGCCCATATCGATCCGAGAAATAAATAAATTTATCAGTTGTTACTTCGATTATTTTCGACCACTCAAAATTCCCCCTGTGTACAGTGGATTAGTTGCAGACACAGGCCTATCTAAACTGACCATTTGTCCAATAGTATATTTGCTCCTAAACGCTTATGTGGGTTATTTCAAACAGTCCCAATGTCTATGCACTCCCATTCCTATGCTAAAATTCCAAATACTCCATGCCATATTGCCCCTATTTAGTTATTTGTGAAAATGATATTTCCTTAATAGCTTATTCATGCATCGTTAATCATTTTGTTAATAGCAACTGTGTGGCGATTTATGAAACACGGTGTGGGTGGAAGTACACATCCTAGGTCTCATCGCAGTAGTAGTTTAGCCAAAAAATACGCTATGATTTGAGTAAAGTGGTCATCCTGCACTTTCAACCCCAACAAAACTTATTTCATTGATAAGATAAGTTGTTGGAGCTCAAGAAGAAACAGCTTTAACGATTAAAACCGCTGACCAGTTAATAATCGATTTAAATGAGGCGTTTTTTCGTTGTCGACATTTTTCATATAGGTGTACAAATTCAAATACACTTCTGATAATTGATAACATAAATTTGAACGTTTCTTAAAGGTTATATCAAAGTACTAAGCCGGACCTAAAACATAATGTGTAGTGTATTAAAATATATCAATCATATAATTTGGTGCAAATATACTTAAACACAAAAAACATTTCAAAAGTAATGCTCAGTAAAATTAATGTATGAATAAAATTAACAAAAAAGTCTTGCACTAGGAAGTCAAAACTCATTTTAATTGCCGATTCAGTTTGATCTAAGTACATTGCAAACTTGGACAAATAGTAACGTCAATTGAATAGGGCCGCCTAATTTTACCAAGTATTATAATGCGCATTTAGCTTTTAAGTTTACAGATACGATTTTAGGCTGACAGGAGTAATTACTGACTTATTTACATCGGAAATTTGCAATGAACACAACTTATTTCGGATCGATTATTTAATGACCGTTTATGACGACGTTAACATTGGTACATTTTTCGATAGATATGTAAGACCTGAAAAGGCTATTAAATGGAAACAAATGGAAAAGAAATAGTATATATTCAAACAAGTTTCGTACACTGTAAAGCATAATTTTAGTTTAAAATACCAGCAACATTTTTGTAAGTAGCTTTTATAATGCATAATATAATTAGTTCCAAAATACTCTTAGAGTATGGCCATAAAAAAATTTTATATATCAAATAATCGGTGGCCTATACTTAAACGTATTTGATGCTAATTTAGCTAGATTTTGCATTCCCACTGCAGCACAAATATTTATGGAGTGTACAGATTGCATACTCTAGCTTTTTTATAACAAAACAATCGATTTTCGCAGACATTTAAAGTTCAAATTTGAACTGATCTGAACCAACATATTTTTAAGAGGCAAATGGAAGTTCTGATAAAAAATTACCAAAAAAAATAATTTTTGATATTATAAAAAGACTGCGATAACATACAAATAAATAGCTAATTTTAACTATTTAAGTTGATGTTGCTTTGAAATATCGTTACAATTAATTTTGACGTTGTTTAAAACTGCGTTTCGACAGTTTACGCTCGTTACTTGTAAATTATACGTGTCGGTGGCATTGCCATGAAGTACCTTGCTGCTTATATGCTCGCTCAGATGGGTGGCACCAATCGCCCCCAGGAAAGTGATCTTAAAACAATCCTTAGCTCAGTCGGGATTGAGTGTGAGCAGGAGCGGGTTAAACTGGTAAGGTTTACAACTCGTTTACATATTGAAATTAGCTTCTTGATCAGCTTCATGGTAAAAATATGAATGAACTGATAAACGCAGGAAAGGAGAAAATGTCAACTGTGTCATTTTCCGGTGCCGTCGCTCCCAGCTCTGGCGCCGCTCCTGCAGCCGCTGCTCCTGCTGCTTCAGGCGCAGCTCCTGCCGGTAAACCCGCAGCCGAAGCCCCTCCCAAGGAAGAGCCAAAGGAGGAGTCTGAGGAATCGGACGCCGATATGGGCTTTAGTCTGTTTGACTAATTACAATGCATAAAGGGTCTTCATTTGTCATAACCCGCTGTTATTTTGTCCCAACTTTTGGGGGATATGATCTGAGCTGTTGCAGTAACATTGCGACGACCGCGTTTGTATTCCTTAGACTAGGTCTTATTTTTGAAGGTTTATTTGTCACGGTTGATTTAGTAGTATAATCTTGGGTTTTTTCCCTTGGGGGTTTTTTATACTTGGGCGTTCCTAACGTGTTTCTGCTGGCTTTTCCCGTCGAGACTTGCTAAGTTTGCAAATGCGTTGTTAATTTGATGACAATTTGTTAATTCCTTGGTTCATTGCAAATTATTTGTGCTTGGTAAGTCAGAATTGCCCCTTTTGTGGCAATTCAATAACCTCCGTGGATGTATGGTGTGCGGTGATTTTGTCCTTGACCGTATGGTGTTAGACATGGTGGTGTGGGTTTGCTTTTAACTCCTGCGGGTGCTTACGACGGTGGGGTTCTTCAGCTGGGTTGGGATTGGTATGTGTCCTTTCGCCTAATATCGGGAATCCTGAACTTGAGCAATGCCTGGATCGGACTTTGTTTACTGTTATCAGTATGCAAACGAATTTAATTCAGTTAGGGATTCTAATAGTTCCTCCAGATTGCTTTTGTGATAATTTTTTTCAGCAGAGGGACAGAATGCATTGTAATCATCGCTATCATCTCTGCTGCCATTTGCACATTGCCCCCTTATATGATATCTTCGGATCCAGGATTGGATTCATCTAGACCAGCGCTGAAATGATTGCCCCAACGTCGGTATAAGTAAAACTGGTGCTCAGTTGTGCGTACTTGTTGCTTAATAGATGTATCGTTCACTTCGTCAGATATTCTACTCGATAGCAATTTGATTCATTCGTGGCGTTCTGATTCTTTCAGAGTCCTCGGTATGTTAGCTGTTTCGCAACGGTCTCAAACGAGCCCATCGTGCTCCTGCTGACACATGTAGCATTGCAGGTGGTTCACCCACGTTAATCATGGTTGATTTTGGGCATCACTGCAGTTTTGCGCCGGCCTAACTTCTGGGGTAACGCTGTTGATGTTGTCTAAAACAGTCTCACGTCTCCCTTCCAACAACCAAAAATGTAGGTAAGAACTGCAAAATTTTTACTGAGGGCGCTCCAAGAGTACTGTTGTCTTCTGGTTTCATCACATCGAGGCAAGACTCCAACAACCGACAGCTGTTGATATGACCTTTCGAAAGCACATTATGTTTCAATTAAGCCGACTTACCAGGAAAAAAAGCGAGCAGGATCCAAATATCGCTATCCAGAAGCCGAACCGTGCCACGTACGCCTGGATAGTTGGCAAACACCCCTAAACAGGATACGTGGTTATAATGGGCAGTGGTAGTGTGTAACGTTCACGTAGGGTAACTCGTACTCGGTAGTAAAGCGCGTCATTGTGGGCGCCATCTCCGAATTTGGGTGGCCCATACTGCCAGTTTTGGCACCTCGCGAGATCTTCATACTCGTCAGTCAACTGGCGGGTCAGATAGTCAAGTTTCCTGTAGCAGCAGGTTTTGGGGACCATTCGAAAAGCAGGATTGGATTCTAGAAAGGGAAGTAGGCTGCTAATTGGTCAGCTGCTTTTACAGTTGTTCACTAATGACATTGTCGCCAATTGGCCGAATCTGCGTGCATCAGCAGGATTGTGACCTCGGATTCATGTCATTATGGCAAAATTATCAACAATGGCCTCATATCGTAAATTTGTTGCTGTTATTGTCTATCGCGAGAAATTATACAGTTGTGCAAGAACGCAACCTATGCTAATTGTCGCTGCTGGTAATTATGATGCACGTCACCTAATTGGACAAGATAAAAAGACGGTTCTTTTGGTCAATATTCGGTCATGGAGCAGTAATACCAATGTCGGTAACTGCGAACTTACCAAACATTTACGCAACCACCTTCCTGGCATTCAGCAACAAAATGCAGGTGAAATCGTGCCCCATTACTGGCCAGTTTTGTCTTATCTGGTCATAGGTAATTAGAATCTGGCGCAATGATTGCTGTGATTCATTCATTGTAATCGAATTTCCCCTTTTCGACGAAACTGACTTTGATTTATTGAACATTATTCCGACCCGTAACGTCATTTAGTCCGTAAAGCACTTTTAACAATGCGATTTAAAAACGTCAAAATCTGCCCTAAGCTTATCGTGTTAAGCCGATTTGCAATGAGTAAAAGGCAGGAAGGGCGATATAATATCTTAATTGTGACAATTGAAGAAGGTTAGAGAAATTACATGAACAGATGGCGGTCGGATTTTTGCGGTTTGTCATCCTTGCTGATTTCAGTAATGGACAAATTTGAAACTCGTTACTTCTGGTATCCGCGTGCCTACTTGAATGCTAGTATTAACTTGCAAAATAGTTCAAGTAAAGTATAGATTTTTGCACGTTTTTGATTGGTTGAAGCAAGGTTGTCTAGTTCAAAACTTTGATCAGATTCATCTTCAGGCAAAACAAGATCCTCGTAGAGCTCAGGCATGTTCAAAATGATTGCTGTTAAATACTTCAACGTTGATTGGCTGATTCTGGATCGTATCGACACACTGCGTCAGAAGTGATTTGAAGTTTAAAAGAATGGCAGAACTCTAAGGTTTGGTTCGATTTTCGGACGTGAGTAAAAGTGCCCTCATTCAACCACACATTTTAGCCAATTCCTATCGGGAAGGAATACGCGCCAATCGCAAACGCCAAGTTGAGCAGAAGCACTGCAGTCATTGGCTGGCCACAAACATTTGCGCCTCACAGTTCACACTGTCCGGTCAGAATGGTGGTTTGATAGCCCTCGGAACATCTAAAATAGCCCGACTGTCAACTCACACGAATAACCATTGGGCCATCACGAACACATGGTATTTCTGGTGACACGATTACTCATTTCTGGGCGTCGACTTTACCTGCCACCTGGGCTTAGGGAAATCGCGTGGTTGTTGACAGCGGCCAAAACACTAGAGTTGCTATAGCGATTATGTTCATCTTAACTCAAGGGCGAAGTTGCAATTGATTGGTGACCGCAATTCTTGACTCTAATTGGCTGAGCAATAATCTGGTGATTGGTCACCATGAACTGTTCCCTCTCCAGTTGAAGAGGTCATAAAGTCCCAATGATTTACTTCGAATGCATTTTGCAAAATCTGAAATTTGTCACTAATTTTGGGTATAAGGGGAAGTAAACAATCATTATCCATCAAAATGCGTATATCTCGCGACATTCTCATTTTCAAATCTACCACCTCCCCGTCATTGGCTCATCCCCCTTTGAGTATGCTGTCAAAGAAAACGACTTTGGGTTGTTTCATTGAAAAGTCTCCCCTTTGTAGACGGAAGATCACGGGCTTGGTTCATAATTGGTTAATAACTAGTCATGAGAAAATACTTATATTAGGTGCGGTTTGACACTCGAAACCCTACTATTGGTCACGTCAAGGTCAGACACGAGGTCACGTTCTTGTCAACGTCGAATTGAATTGAGTCCGCAGTTTCGGGAGTGGCAAACCTGAAGAGTTGAGTTTTATTCCTTTCAAAATCGATTTTTGCTATCATAAAGTGCTGGCAACAAAGATACAACTGAGTATAAGGCAACCATTAATGATTAGCCAATCAAAAACTAGTTGAGATAACCCTGGCAATTCATTTCCGAAACCAGTAACTAATTATTTTCAAAAAATTGATTTAATAACTTTAAGTCGTATAGTGGTTACGAGAAAACTTCAAACTTACATCATTCTCCCAATGCATTCTCAAAATTTTTACCGAAAACTGAAATGACAAAATTTCACTCTTTTGATTGTAAAATGGATACATTATTATAACATCACCATTTCGACAAATTAAGGTCCTTTTTAATCATGTCCAACTCTTAAACTGAATGGATTTGCTTGGGATTTAACTCAACATTCAACCAGTGGTTTGAGTATAGTCTACTGTATTTTGTTAAACTAACAATAATAGTACATCTTGATTAGTTAATCCAAGGTCAAGTCAAATTTCCGAAATGACCAATCATAGTTGAGCGGTCAGCTACCCTGGCAAGGCAAATATCGAGTTAAACGTGTTTTAGCTCATCTGCAACAGCTGCGACTGTGGGCAGGGAGTGGAGCCTTTGAGTAAAAATTACAGGACCTTTGTCTTTAAACAAACGCAAATAACGACGCCACCACGAATCGTCTGGTTCGCAGCAACTGCCTTCTTGCAAAATTGTCTGTTTTGGGGATTTCACCTGAGCTTGACATGATCTCATTAGGCGAAAATCAGATAACACTAACAGACCAATCACTTACCAGGAATCGTCTTGGTATCATCGAGGAGCAGAGCGTTTTCATCCATGAACCACTCGGACTCCTTCCAGGCACTCCAACCATTGTCTTCGACTGCACAACACAGGAGATAGCTTTGAAGGTAGTCCCAAGCTGTAGTCGTCAATGCAAAGGACCCGTAGCTCTCCTTCAAATTACGCAGCATCACTCCCTTCACGAAGTCTGCGGACTTAAAACGGAAGCCAATAGTAATCGTTGATCTGTCAAAATCTCATCCAATTGGATTGGATCATCGCCTAAACTAGAACCTCATTGGCCGAAGTAGTTGTTTAGGTGTATCAAATTTTGTTGAGTAAAATGCATTGCCTACCGAGTAAGGAAAAGCCAGAACGAGAAGAAGTCCAGCAAGGAGAATGAGTATCAGTAGGATCGAACCGCCGACAAGCTAGAACACGAAATTAATAAAAATATGAAGAATGCAGATGGAAGTAGAAGACACTAGTTTCTAAATTAAATATTGCTAGACATGGCTGGATTAGAAAGAGTACAGCATGACGAACCAGGAGGACGAAAAAGCGATTTTTTGTAGACATTCCACACAGACCAAGAAAAGCCGTCCAGATTGTGCAGAGACTGGCAAATAGCACGATGTACATCCCGTAGTAGAGGTTGATACCGAAGGTCTTAGTCACTTCGCCGTGAGTGTAGATGGCCATCAGACTGACTCCGAACGTGCAGGCCCCAAGTAACTGAAATCAGCCAATAGGAATGCACGAGGTCGAGTGCCACCTCGGGGGGATTGTAATTTCGGTCACGGATTTTTCGAACAAATGATAATAATTTAAGAAAAGTAACAAAAATGAGACACGGTCAGCATCATCCTCATCATTATTACAGATATCGCAATTTTATGATCAATTTCATAATAGCCCCATTCATGATGCGTTCAAAGTAATACTTAAAATATTTGGCCTTTTTAAATTTAATAACTATGCTAAATGACAAAATCAGCGTTAAGGTTAGGTTCTGGTAATTACAAGATCAATCTTCTTAGCAACGCTTTACGTAAGTTTGAGGTGCAAAAACTCGAATATTTAAGCATTTAACGGTCCATTCGTTGTCATTTGCATGGATAGGTGTTTGATTAGGCCCACGTCAACTTCAGACGCTTGACTGTAAAAAATACTTGTTGTCTTGTTTCAGTTAAAGTGAACCACAACACAGCAGTTCAAGGCAAAGCTGTGGAATTAGAGAAAAGACGCATACTAGACTGATTAAACAGGCAAGATCTCCGAAGGCTCGAATGCAGCAGGCCTTGTGACACCAATTAAATTCCACCGTCCTGTCCACTGTCTTCATCTGTGAGCAACACAATAACTAAAAACAAATAAAAGCAGAGATCAGGTTTCCAAACAATAAAGCGAACCTTCTGACATGCTGCTAAGAAAGCATGAAAATTTACAAAAAGCTTATTATTAAAAATGGTAGTAGTGGTCATAATTTTTTTATTCCGAATTTTCTCTGACCATAAAGAGTCGATTTAAGAATTAGTAAAACAACGCAAAATATCAGCGAACCATTAACCAGTTAACAAGCAATCACCCATTTTCTTGGCATAAAAAGACTTCTACAAAATTTAACATCTGGGATTTTCGTAGGCCAAAACAGGGGTAGGGAGGTATTATACGTAATTTTAGCCAATGACGGCGTTGATCGCTGACGCGTAAAATGTTAAAGTACATCCATAAGGTGATATTCAAATGCAGATGTGTTTTAAGACAAAGTTAGCAGAAAATCAAAATACAAGAACAAGACGCAGTAAACACAAATAGAAAATGAATAAATAGGGTGCCCTATCTTAAAGTTTCATAACTGTTATTTATAAATCTTCTCAGGGAATGTAGTTTCAAATGAAGAACTAGTTACGCAACGCAAAAATGTGCGCAATTCATTAAACAGTGAACAAACATAATCAAGATTTTATTGCCATAAAAGTCTCTTTAAAAGAACAGTCGGGCAGTGATTTAAAATCTGAAGCAAAAATTTTTAGGCTAAGTTTATGTACTTTAGCAAGTTGAGACGCTGATCAAAATGTCCCAACAGAGTTCGAGCAAGTAAGCAATAAAGTGCCAGGAAAAGCCCCATATGCTGTCCGGTGATGGTTGATGTCATTTCACTTTAAACCAAAATTCCATTGCAGTTTTTTGAAAGTCTTGCGGTAAAATATTTTGACACATAGATTGAAGCATAATATCAAAGTGGTTTAGATTTTGTTACGTTGTCTTATTTAGTCAGGGGCAAATCTACGGGAAGCTTAGACATTAAGAACTGGACAGCCATAGAATAAACGGAATAGTGTGTTAAATATGTCCAAAAATAATTGGTTTCAAACACTTACCAGAAAAACCAAAAAATAAAAAAAAAGAAATCCAGATAAATTTGAATAAAGTTATGTAGAGAACCCATAAATGCAACTATAAGGACCGAAGCATAAGAGTTACCGTTGATATATAAATAATAGGGGCTTTCTACCACTTTGTCTCAAAAAACGCGACTAAGTGCATTCAAAAAATAAATAAAAAGCGTAAAAATTTAATAAATATCGGTATAAAATAGCAAGGATTCAGATGCATTCCAATTATCAGTTCCATATACCAGTGTAACAGACCAATATTTTAAAATACAATCTCAGAACAAAAAATGCAGTTAATTGGTAATAATTGAACTTTGAAAAAAATAAAATCCCAGATAAAAAACTGCGAATAGGGCAAAAAATTATTATACCCAAATACCGATATATTTTTATTAGGATAAAAAAAGGTTTTGACATCATTCAAAAAAGGGTTTACGTTTGACTTTCGAGATTATCTTTTTTCACACAATAAAGCAATTAAATTTTTAGATTCACTTTTAACAAAGACAAGAAAAAAAATTCTTATTTAACATTTGATATAATTAGATAGCTTGATAACATCTTTTGTAACAAAGTAAAAGAGATTCTATGAGAAGAAAAAATTAAACGTTACTTGTTTAAAAATTTTTAAAACATGCAGTACTTAAGGTGATGCAAATCAGAATATATAAACTAACATAACCTTGAAATCACTTATAGTTTCTTTCTTTATTGGGCGTAACAAAGCGCTTAATTATTATTAGTAATATAAAGACTGCAATATAACTGTCGTTTGACAATCATAAGAAAATGTTTCTCTTCAAAATTACAAAGATAAACCCGAAGCCGGAAATATAAAATGATTGCTTAAAATGAGATGCTCCTTTACTGTTTCATATTTTTTTAAAAAGTCTGCATTGCTTTTGTTTAGGTGCTCCTGAAATCATATTAAGGCCTTGAAGGTGACCAAAAAGGCAATTAATTTTTCGTCTGAGTGTATAATTGATTGGATATCCAAAAAAATATGTGAAATAATGGTTGAATTTAATTCTGATGCCAATAAATTTATTACTGTTGTGATGGATATATGTTATACACTATGATAAATGTGTATTATCTCAAAATGTGGCATCCGTATTTTGCATATATTATTATATTTATGTGGAAAATATCAACTGAATGTATCATTTTCTAATTATCTTTAAACAAAAGGCTTTTATAATTTTGATATTACAATAACAAGTAAAGACTTTTGCTCCACGTAAATATATATAATTTGCAAAATACTTGACAATATTTAATAAATATGTTGGCGTTAATTTTTACTCTAAATACAGTTTGTCACGCACTTCAACCCTGAAAATGGCTATAAATTATCTGCGGTTTACAAATAAACTATTTTTAGATCACAAAAGTAGTTTGTTTTATCAATTTTTTCTACTTTCTTTGTTTATGTTTATTGTAAAGAAAGTAAGTAAATTGAATGTCACCATCAGCTAATCAAATGTTTCTGGATATTTTTTGTTAACTTTCAATGGATAATACTCTTATTGTTGATTTTAGACAGCAGGTACGGAAGTTTTAAATCTATATTTGTAGAATGAATGTAATTTTGTACTGTCGAATGTATCTTCTGAGCTTAAAGAGGTGAGTCAAAATTTTTGAACACTTTATTTTCGGTGTCTTTTTTTATTGTGTGGCCAAATATGGAAGTCATTTATGTAATTGGTACATCCAGGTTAATTTTTAAATTTTGTTGTTCTTTGATTCCCAAAACCGTTTTTCAACTTTGCTGGTTATTTTAAAGTAATGATTTAACGTTCCATGGAAGATTATTTTTCGGCGATAGGCCTCCTTCTTCAGCTATCCTGTGGTGTTGTTAGTCACATAGTTCGTGCCTATAGTTTTTCTAGTTTTTGGGTTTTTTAATTCAGGTCTTTATCTTTCCAAATGTAATTTTTCCTTCCTGTTTATTTGTAAGTATGTCATTGCCACTTCAATTTTTTTATACGTAGATTCTCCAAACCGACTACCCCTACATCCACCGTAACTCAACCTTATTCAACTTTTTTGTCCGTCCGATTTCGTGCAATTGTCATAGACGTCAACTCAAATCTGAAAGCACGCTTGGTGCTAGTTATTAAATTACTGGTGGCCTATTTTGTTGGCAGTAAATTGAATTTTTTAAAATATCATTCCGTACACGGTAAGCAGATTTTTTTCACCGAAAGTGGTGAAAAGTTCAACCCGATGATTGCTTTCTTGCAATTTAACTAATCCGATAATTCTCTACTATGGCCTGACTATCCATGATCTGAGAGTTACTCGTACACAAAGGATTAGCTATGTTATGCGTCTCGCTTTCTTAAATTTCTTTAAACCTACTGCTTGTTTTATGTGACCGATATCTCTTGGTTAACTTATATGTTCTGAGTCCATTCTTTTGTCACTTGTTCCAAGGATAAAATGCCACCAAGTATAGCAATTAAGTATTTATGTTATCTTCTGCGAATGAAACATGATTAAAAATTAACACAATATTTTTGCTTTAATTGTTCCGTAATACGATAGTGTCTTAGTACCAGATTCAACCACTTCCGCTCAGGATTCCGTGGCAGTAGGTCGGCTTCCGGTTTCGGAACCAATTTTTCAGTGTAAACGTCTACTACGTCCAGGCTTTTTTCTTTCTGATTTGTTGCATACTTCATTTCTAGAAGGTTTTCTCCGAATGCAAAGTCTGCTTGCAGGCTGCCGATCACCAGAACCGAATTGATGCAGTCGTCTGTTTGCTCATTCTGAGCCGCGATCCTGACTATCAAAAACGCCTAGCAGAAGAGGGCGTTTTGTCACTCTTAGTGCGCGAAGCCGCTATTCAAGAAGACCGTCCCTCCCCAGCTCTACCCGTGGATGCCAGTACAGTTGGTGCCCTCAAATGTCTTTCCAATGTGATCTTCAAGAATCCAGACGTCATTAAGTACCTGAGGTGAGTTAGACTGTCCGTTCAGGGATAGTCCGACCTCCGACAAGTATTCCATTCCATCCTTGGGATCACATTCTCCTCATTTAGAAAGCGGGGCTGTCTGGAAGCCCTGGTGAGCCGCTGCGAGGCCCAGATGGAAGACGATTCCACCAATCTGGAAGTCATGCTATTCGACCTGAAGGTCCTTTTCCTCTGTTCAGCCCTGGACTCCTTGGCTCGACTGGACCTCCTGATTACGTACTTCGTGTGCGATGTGTTCGTCAATCTCCTCCGGTGGACAGTGGACGCGGACTTCTCTGCGCGCCCCCAGATGCCCGATGTGTTGGTTGAATTGCTAAAGCTTCTTTTCAATATGAGCTACGCTAAAAAAGAACAGGAATATGACCAAGTATGCCCTCACATTTCCGTCGGTAGATTAGTGCTCTTTTAGGACCGGTACGAATCAACGTACCAGGCGCTTACCCTTGTCATTCGTTCGCTGTTAGTCAAGTCTGTGGAGCCACATCAGCAGAAGATGGAAATCGTGAAGTAAGTTGGCAATCGGTATCTTGCAAGATGTTGGTAGTTGTCACCTAAACGCCTCCCGCCTTTACCCCTAGTCACTCAGTCAACTTCCTCACCATGTTGCCAACCGGGTGTTACGCTGGATTACTGTTTCAACAAGACGAAGAGGCGTCGTCTCAACCTCTAGAGGCCCATAGAGATGCCCAAGTCACGCAGGCCTTGTCTGTGCTTCTAGATTTTCTCACCTACCAGCTAGACCAGGTTGGTTTTGACGCCACACACACTCACACTCAACAAAATTGACCAATTTAGTTACGATTTCCTTCCTTCTTTCCCACCTAGGATGATAAAGATCCCGGTCGGTCGGGGCAACTTCTTACGCCCATTTTGACGCTGATTGCCACGGCATCTAGGGCTAATCGAACGATCAGGAAGTACTTTCGCATCAAGGTGTGTTTTGATTGGCTGGTGATACCATCACATCTCCTAGGGAATCTAACATTAAAAGAACGCTTTTAAGCAGCGACTTGAAAAGGCCAAGGAACAGTAAATCATTTTGGGAGATTCCGTCCTGTCCTTCGACTCCGACCTTTTAGGTTCTCGGAAATGTGTTGCGTTAGAAAATCTGATTTACACGATTGGGCAAAATCACCCAATGCACGAGGCGCGATCGGTTCTGAAAACCCATGCACGACACCTCAACCTCATCCAAATTTAGGGATACGTTCAGCTGTCATTCACGTGACCCGCTACGGAAGTCTCATGAACGAGTGAAGAGAGCTTTTTCAAAAGGCCGGGGCAGCACGTTGAGTGCGCTCAATTGTCTTGAGTGACGCTGACAGTCATTTGGGTGATAGCATATTCACGCCTTCTTTAACCAATGGGGTGCAAACTAGACACGGCGCTCGGTCGGTATTAAAAGATAAGTGAATTGTGAAATGGCGGCCTCTCTTCAGGCGTGTAGGCTTGGTCTGAGCGAGATTTATTCGTTGTTAACGTTTTTGCCCTCAACGATACCCAAACACAGTGAGAACTTGCTAAGAATTGTCGTGACATGACCTCGTGGAGAGGGGCTTTTACTGTCTCGTCAAAAGTCACCCACTTGGATGACCTTAAGAGCTGAGATCACGTGAAAATTTAGACAATAGGGTTGTTAAATTGTGCGGCGAATGGGGTTTTGCTAAATTCTGATTTCAACAACAATCAAAGGCTTGCTGTGATTGGATCTTTTGCCCGAATCCCTAATCCATCTACCCATCTTGGCTGTTTTTCTCCAAATGATTCCAGTAAAACGCGATTGGACCACTGTTGAAGCTTTCTAGATTTAAATTTGTTGTTGTTTTTGTTGAATTTAGATCCTTCCACACCTCGGAGCGGACGTGAAACGTCTCCCTGAATCTGGATCCACCCTCCGCAACAGGTAGGCCATCCACTCTGAATCCTTATCCCCCACCCCGGTCCCCACTTTGATCTGATCAATTTGTCTTCGTTTCTCTGTCCTGCCTTCAGGCTTTGCAGTCGACTCACCGCAAAAGGGAAACTTGACGACGGTACCGTGGAGGCGGTAGCATTCCTTATCTTCGTCCTCTGTAGAGAAAAGAGTAGGTTGTCAGTTAGTGTATTCCCCATGGCCTCATCCACTACCTTCCCACTTTGTGCTTACTTGTCGCCTTAAATCCTTTCGTGTAGTCTGTGATTGGCTCCTCTGTTCACACCCACTGAATTAGGTCGCGACCTTAAAGCCTGAAACCGAAATTAGGCCAAGATCTGTCTACCACAACCCACTGCCCTGAAGCCCGTAGTTTTCATTGTAGAAGCTCCGATTCGGAGCTGGGAGTACATCAGCAGAAGAATTTGAATACCACCAGTGAAATTATTGTTGTGAATGCCTGGATCTGTTTAAGGTATGGTGATATGGGAGGGTGTGTGGACACGCAGCAGCAGAGATTATGGACGACAGTCGACAGCATTTTCACCGACTTGAACACACTTTTCCCATCTAGTCGACCGCGCAGTGAAGTACTCGGGATTCGGCAACTTCGTGGGCTTCCTATCACGCCACGGACTGATGGCTGGAGGTGGTCGTAGGGGTGTGGGCTCCTCCCCCCAGGGCGACTACTCGTCCACCTCGTCGGACTCTGAAACCGAGGCCTACAAGGAGTTGAAGGATCAAGTGAACCCAGTGACGGGTCGCGTGGAGCCCCCAAGATGCAACCCGATGGAGGGCATGAGCGACGAGCAGAAGGAGTACGAGGTCATGCAACTGGTCAATAAGATCGATCAGCTGCAGAGGTGCGCAGATTTTTAGAGTTATGGTTGACATCAGCAGTTGTTGTATTACTTCTTAACTGGGTTCCTCACTAATAATGTGTCCGTCGACACCCTGACACGGACAGGGTTCATGCCTGAAGTGCATGGCAATGTTCAGGGTGCTATATATGGTATTCCTGGTGCAGAAATGGATATCTAAACTTTTCAGTGCTAGTTTGCATAGGAAGCAATGATTCCAATGTTTGTGGCCGATCGAATTCAAACAGAAAGTTCCCTTTTTGTTTCCCTTTAAGGAGCGGCGTCATCCAGCCTGGAGTTGTGGGTGACGACGGTCGTGTACGTCCGGCTGAGCACGTCTTGGAACTGGTTCAGAATGTCCCGGACGACGACCATGGTGACGCCTCTGACGACTCAAATTAACATTCACTCAGTTAACTTGGCTTGTGTCCAACTTCTCCTCATGGTTTATCTGCATTTTGACTTCAGTTATGCTAATTCCTTAAATGTGTTTTTCTAAGTTATGGATCGATGTGTACTTCCTTATTGGTTTGAAATCAATATTTTGAAGAATAAATAGATGCTTCATGTATGCTCCTATAATATTTAGAAACGTAAAATTTAGATCCGAAAGCTGTAAAGCGTAGTAGCGCTCAGCTTTAAGGTTGTGCGGTGTTGCATTGCTTGTTTATTTCAGCTGATTTAATCCGATATGCCTTAATGAAAACAAAATAAATTGATTGATCAAACAGTGGGCTTTTGGAAACTCCTGCTCGGTTTTTATTTGATGTTTGGCAAAAGTCAATTAGTTACCACTACACAAGTTCTACAAGATTTAATATTCTTTCACATGTTTTCGCATTTTTTTATTATGCTTCACCCTCGAGTTAATGCTTGATTGTGCGGTTGGTCGGATTACGCAGTATTAATTTTCATCTTATGCTAACATTAAAGTCCAAATTAGCACTTTATCTAAGCCACGATAGGTGAGATGCCAATCTATCGTAAGACCAATTTTACAGTGTTTAATTCTAAATGCACTCATGGGGCCAGTTGCTATTTAGGCAATTATGGTATAATTTAGCACGTGCACAAGCCAACAAGCATCCAATTTATGGAACTTCTTATGTTAAATCAATTTATTTCCAAGTATAAATTACTCGATTTATCCTCCGTAAATTAATAACTAATTCTAAAACGCTACCTCTTATTTTTACTTTCCTAATTCACGTTGTGATCACGTTGTAAATAAGGGCTTACTGATTTAGAATTTAATATTTATGAAAAGAATTGCTTCAGAAGCGGACGCTATCTTTGCTCGTGCTATGTTCACTAGCATCCTATTGTTATCCCAACACCATTGCTTCACATGCACGAGTATCTTGTCACGACTTCAGGTCACTGAGCCAGTGCCAACACTAATAGCGCGTAATCTCTACACACTAATATAAGATAACAATGTGCTACACCGTGCATCGTACTTTCTAATAGCGTTGTCTCATTCATCGCTTCACCCTGTGGTACATTAACCATGTTGGGTAAACCTAAAACACGATATAACTCTCTTTCGTCAAGGTAAGTTTTTTAATCACCGAGTATTTGTTCTAGGCAATCAGCCTGATTGCGACTGATCAATGCATTTTATTGCTTAACAAATGCATTATGCTTTATTACGTAATTTATGCTAATGTTGTACTAAATTTGCAAAAAAGGTCATTCAAGGGCTTTTCCATTGGTCAGAATAAACTATCCAATTGAAAACCTATATTTTGCACATTTTAACCAATATAGTAATAAAATTTTATGCTCTAAAAAGTGTTTTTTGCCTACTAAACAAATTCGTGCAATGTTTGGAGGATTTTTGCCTATAGGCCTTTTAGAGTTAGAATAAACTCAATATAGTTTACTTAGTCTGTGATACGGTGACATTTGTAGCTTAACGTTAAATCAAGCCTTAGCTGCATGAAATTTGGTAGAATTCCTCTTATTTTTTGCTGCCTTATTGTTTACCTTGGACTGTATTAATTTGCTGTATTAATTTTTGTTAGCTTTCTAACCAGGCGAATCGCCCATCTCTATACTGGTTGTTTATTGATTTGTAATCAATTGTGACTGGCTTTTTTGGGTTACACATAAATACGTAATTTAGGCAAAGTATACTCCAAAAACATCCTGTGGTTATGTACAGGTCTCCGTGTTTGTTTGCAACTTGGCTATGTGCTAGCTTTTAATTTTGTGTAAATTCCAAATAATTCTGTTTAAAATAAACGTTCATGGTCATAATAAATATTGCGTTAAACGCTTTTGTTGCTGCTATAGCAATCTAATTTATTGTTTCCTTCTCCATGTCTATTTGTTGTCTCGCCAATTCTGGCCTTAACTCACCTTTTTCTGCTCCCTTTGTCGTGGTACGCCAAGCTTTTTTGATTTTTCATGGTTCTACAGATTCATATCGTCTTTTCCAATAACTGCGGTACTATAAAATATATTCTTAAGCAAGATTTTTGCTATTTCTAGCAAATCCCCGTTTCTGTACCTCCATATCTTTAACTTTGAGCTAGGTTTGAAGAGTTTTCTCTTTCTCATATATATTCGAGTTAGTTAGTATTAGATTTAGAAATATTTGTAAGCAAGTCGCAAATCAGTTATAAATTTCGTCCTTTATAAGCTGTTGTTACTGGTTATTGCGTTATAGTTGTGTTAAGAATCCAGCAAACTCTCACAGGTTCTACATTCGGCCAAAGTCAATGTTATCTTTTTAGGTTTAGTAGAGGCATGTGGTAATTTTTTAGGGCGCCTTTAATGAGTTTTTAACTCAGTAGTTTTTTTGTCCTTGCAATTTCTAATTGAGTCATTCTAGTATTTTACACTTACATCTGTGCTTCTTTTAATGATGACACGGCTTTTACCGAACCTATAGATTAAAGGGTGACTAATAGAAATAAGTGCTTAGCAGAATAGCCTGCATGTTCTAGCGGACTAAGCAATAACCTTCCGACGTGGTTTCTGCTCGCTTGTATAATTAATAAGCGCTAAAGAAAAGTGTGTTTATTTGCGCAGCGAATAAAGCAGTTTCTCTGCTGAGTAAAACGCCTCAAAGATTACTTATCTAGAAAATCTCTCATGGCGAGAGTGTTTTCCTTTGCGAAAAATCTTACCCATTCTTCTGTATAAAAGAAATGTGCTGCAGAATTAATAGCCGTTGTGACTTTAATAAATGTGATAGCAAGGAGAGGCAAGCGGTAGTGGCCATGTTTCCTCGATGAATATTGCCACGCTGTGCACCCGCGACCCGGTTATATCCAAAGTCTTAACCAAAATCGCCCCTGTTTCCTATTTCGCATCAAATTCACTCAGCTGTTTTTCGGTTTAAGCAGACATTGGAATGTACTAGTCGTAATCACCCAACTTCAAGCTGTTCGGTGGTTTTCGCGACTCACACATTAACACTCTCAACGTACACATCTAATCGACTGAGTTTATGTTTGCGTATCAGTGGTTTAATTAACCGCTTCTGCGTGATCTCTTTCATAATTGCCTTAACACTGTTGCTCTAGGTCCCATTTCCATCGACCTATCAAAGCCTAACAGATTCGTAGCCTTGAAATTGTCACCGCTGATAGATACCCAACCAAAGTAAATGCATCGGCCGATTGATCTCATACTCGCTCTTGTGTTGTAGACGCTCGCGTTTTGTACGTTTTCGCGATCCCTCTACAACTGTGCCCTTCGAATTACCAGAACAATGTCTACGGGTCTCAAGTATCTCACGTAAGTCCGTTTAGACACTTGCGTACTTTCCCGTCTTCTGATTTGAGTTCTACCGAATTGAAATAATTTGTTCCTTTTCGATCCTGTTTGAGTTAAAACGCACACAAAAAGCAATTATTAACCACCAAATCTGTTAATCAGACTTACTTGGCTCTTATGGGCGCTAGGCAGCACACCCAACCTCTTTGACATAACCATGATCTCCTCCTAAGTGACCTACTACTCGGTTAGATGGACGCTCTCATCCGATTGGTTCGCAAGCGCCGTCCAATGGATAACTCGCATTATGACGTAGGGGTTGGGAGAGGGTAGCATGTAACGCCAAGGAGGTATTGTGCACTCACTCACGAAGCATGGACGATGCGGAGCTGGTAGTTCCGTGGGAGAAACAGCAGCAGCGCCTGCTCAACCCCAATGACTCTCGTGGCACGTCGCCAGTTCGCAAGAGCTTTTCGTACGCCGGTGTCACAAGCACGGATGGGGCTAGGAGCGTGGCCGCTGGTCTAGCGGTGGTCTCGGCCGACGCCTCGCTCCTCATCAACGAGGCGATGCCACCGAATGAGTTGACCTCGGTGTCGAGGCATCCGTCGGCGTCACACAAGACCTGTTCACGCAAGAGCCCGTCCGTGTCCGATCCGACAGCCGCCATCTTCCAAGCTGGTGCCAAGATGAAGTTTATGCCGTTTTTCGTGAAACAACTAGGTCCTCAGGTCCTGGCTTCTGGCAGTGCTGGTGGAAGTGACTCGAGTTTGGAGGTAACCTGCAGCTACATAAGGTGGGTTATTGGGCTTGCTAAACGCAAATGATACGCAAAGGCAGCCAATTACGTGGCTGTTACATGATGCCGTTAATCACAGCAATACCTAGCACTGATTGGAGTTCACTAATCGCAGAGATAGGAGCGTCTGCCAAGTGTCAAGTCGCTGGCGATTCCGTGTTGCGTAGACACGAGCTGCCGTTGATGTCGGTCGTCATGGCAACTCGATATCGCCCATGGTAACCGACGCCAGAGTTGGCTATCTACTAGTACATCACTTGAGTTTAGACACACTTCCACTTGATGTTTCCGGTTTCAAGCCTCCGACGTCTGCCGTACCTCCAGCGCCGAGTTGAATTCCGCGGGAATTATCAGTAATTTAAGTAGATGGACGCGTCGCATTCGCACTGAAGAGGGATTCCGAAAGATCGCAGCCCTTGTTTCGTGTTCTGCGGTAACTTTGAAGTTAAGACCCCTTTGATCGTCAACGCAGATCGCGGCGAATTGGCCTCCTGTTTGTCAAAAGCCAGTTCTCTTTTTTTCAAAACTAAACATCCCGATGATTATGTGGTTGCATTTTCGTTTTTAGCCGCCAAAATTAGTTCGACGATTTTGGTAAAACGTCGTCCGATTGCGTTGGTATTTTGTTCTCATTTTGAGAAATTTGTTCGAAGAGAAATGTGTGGGGTTATGAGGTAGCTCTTTTTCGGCTCTAACCATCAAAATTGCTACCCTGGGTACGCGTGCAAGTGTCAGTGGTTGGTTTGCAGAGCCAATTAATCACCTCAAAGTGCAGAAACGCGGTATTTATGAGTTTCGATGCAGCATTGTTCGCGTACTCGACTATAATCGTTCCCCCTTCGACTCGTTACTCATTGCCTCTCCTTTTTTTCAAGTGGACGCGATTGCCTGTGGTGGTAACGACGCGTAGAAGGCGGATTTGTAAGGCTAATCTCAATTTACACACACCACCCAATGAGCATTTGCATTCAAAGACAACGTGGAAGTTGGTTTTTGCGCGTTACAGACAGATTTTGATGGGTTTTGAGCTAGCAGACGGCTGAGGTGGATTTCAACTAGCGGTCCGTCGTAAAAAACCAGTATCATTTGTTCGGCTGAGGTGTGTAACCTGCTACCAGCACAAAGCCATTTTGAGAAGGTGATTTGGCTCGCTAAAGTCTGGTTGGTCGGACGTCTTGGGGGGACACAGAAGGCAGCAAGCGTTTTGGCAAATTGAGCATGGACTCAGTCTGCCTACAAAATTCAAGCTTCGACGAAATATAGTGATTTGCGTGGTGTGGAGGCGTCTCCGTCACTCGAATCCCATCCGGAGTGGTTGAACAGGTCGCTAGGCATTCACCGCCTACCCTCACCTGTTCTGTTGCTGCCTAGAGTCCTTTTCTCCTAAACACACACACAACCAACTTGCTCAAAGTCGAACAGTTGACACAGTGAGTCCCGCTCCCTTACAGGCGCCTAGCTTGTTTACGTCTGTGGCATTGCTGGGTGGTTTAAATTGTGATTAATTCCTAAGCCCGGCGCCTAATCCAGATAATAACTTGTGTAGTGCCTGAATTTCAGCGTCGCTGTTGCTTGAATTGTAGCCAAGAAGAAGCCAAACAGATCGATGAGGAGCTCTTCACGGAGTACGCTTTCTCGGTGGACCAGTTGATGGAGTTGGCGGGCTACAGCTGTGCTGTCGCCATTCAATCGGTACGTCCTATTGGCTAAAATTCGCCAACGTGATTGGTTGAAGCACTAGTGAAGAAAGATGGTTGCACAGTGATGATTGGTACCGTTGTTTTCTTTTCACCCAAGTTTTTCAACAGCTTTTATACTATTGTATCCGTTTTAATCTGATTTCAGTGAATGTTTTTTGACTAGCTTGATGTAGAGCGCGTTATCATCACCCGGCCCAAAGCCTCCCAAATCATTAATCATGAGCTTCTAATCCCGTTATGCACATTTTCTGACGCCAAATTTTCCCGCATCCTTCTTGCTGCCTTCTAATCTCATGCGCTGGCTGTTTTGTTCGTCGTTCATAATGCCGCCAAGTTTTTTTTTCAGAGAGCCAGTCACACGCAAACTCGCTGGTGAAGCGTAGCGTGAAATTTTGACAGTTTCTGTAGACTAATTAATTATTAAGTTTTCCTTTTTGGTCATTAATTAACTTCATCCTACCCGGGTGAAAATAATGATGATGCTGATGGCGATGACGATGTTTGTGCCACGAAAAGTCAGTTTGATAATTGGTAGCTTAGTCATAAGTCATGTTTGCCGCGCCTCCATCCCATTGGCTCGTCCACGCGTTGACTGTAGTATTGATTTTATTGGCCGACACCAAGGTCACCCAGGCTGTGTTTTGTTGGCGGGTTTTTTACGTTAATTCGAGATTGGTTACCCCGCGCTCGAATCTACCAATCCCCACTTCCTGACTTTCCCGGAAACGTTCTGCATAGGAAAGCTAGCTTTAATTGAAAAAAATCACATTTTCGTCTGTTTTTGTTTGGTGTATAAAAAACAGGCTTGCATGTTGTCCTTTTGTGGTTGAAACGTAATAGGTGGCCTGCTTTGTGGTTTTAAATGACCTTCCCGCCAGGCGGTTTTTCAACTACAGGCGTGCGGTAGGGGCTACGAACTTCTCTCGCGTGCTGTCTAGAAACTCCTGAAACGGATGCTGGTAGTCGGGTTTTTTTTTAGCGTAGTTCACTTGTTATTCCTGTTTTTTTTTGACAGGCCTACCCACGAGCTGCCATGAAGTCCTCAGATGGCGGCGTGTTGATTTGCTGTGGCCCCGGCAACAACGGCGGCGACGGCCTGGTTTGTGCTCGACATCTCAAACTATTTGTGAGTACGACGCCTCAATTTGCGTAACTACGCGATATCCCCATAATGCTCTAGCGACCAATGTCGAAGCTGCTCCAATTCGGGACACGAACCAGGATTTTTTGGCACAAATTAAGCAGACATGCAGCTCTTTCTCATCTTCTCTACTTTAAAATAAATAAACTCGTTCCTTCTTTGGTTTTTTTATAGGGCTACAAACCGACCATCTACTACCCGCGGTCGCCGACTAAACAGCTGTACAAGAATTTGGTTACGCAATGCGAGAAGATGGGAATAGCCTTCCTCTCGTACATCCCTTCAGACGTGAGTGTACAAGCACCATCGCCATCATCATCGACAGTAGCGCCAGCTATTCCATAGCCCGCCCCTAGTTCTCTCCTTTTATAAATCTTTGCTGTTTCATTCAAGAATAGGAGCATATTCCAGAAGGTAGACACCGGCAAATATGTCTCTGTGCAGGTGTTCGTAGTGTTGCGCGACTCCTACAATCACCTGGAATGTAGCAGAGCTGTTTTCGATTGCATTAAAACAGCACCCTAGGCCCAACCTAGCTAAGAATTCTTGGTCTCTTGTTTAGTCGTAGAAATTTCCTTTGTGGCAGTAACTGACGTCTTCGACGCTTGAACTGGCATTCGCTTACAGTGTCCTTTCGTCGTTTCCTTCTGTTTTAACTTACATACCACGTAAATCAATTGAGCCCGGATAAGAACACAACAGTCAGGGGGACAGCGAGACACAGGTTTTTAGAAGGCGTGGAGATGTTGGAACCTCTGGACTCGTCAGAACGCCTCGAAACAATGCAGTTGGCCAACACTTCAGTGGAAACTTCTCTTTCAAGCCAATTCTGCATAATATGTCTTGGAAGTACTGTCCATCGTCTGCCATGACCTACCGCCATCTCTCTGGTAATGTACAAATGCCGCCGCGAAAGAAACTTGCAGGATTCGAGGCAATTTACGCACATCGTCTCCATGGTTTTGGACTGTTATCCTCTAAGGTGTGCCACTGCATTGAACGGAACTAGTTGTAGTCGGATCGTGCAAATTCTCGTGAATAGGCCGCGTGTGGGAGAACTTACCATTCCACGTTCAAGAGGGCCCTGTGAGTCGTGCGAGCAACGTGAGGTGGTCGAGTGTTGTCATGCAACAGCAGTTTGACTCGCCTGCTTCCTAGCAAAGAAACTGGCGTTTTCTAAACGACTTCTTTCACTTTGTTCATTTGTCGTCTGTAGCGTTGCGCAGTCACCGTCTAACGACCAGTTTCCATTGGCTCGTAACAAAGTACACCCCCCATGTACCGTCACATGCACCAGTGCAGATACCTTCATCAAGTGGGTGCCCTGTTTCGGCGTCGATGTGCTGTGTTGCCCGGCATTTAGGATTCTTGTAAAAAATTTACTTTTCATAACTCGTCGCAATATGCCACAAGAAGTCCTTTTATTTGATGCCAAGGTGGCACGCAGTGAAAGGCATGTGTTCACACGTTGACCTGGGTTGTGTTCTGTCAGCACACGTAGGAGGACCCAACTTCCAAGTTTTCCCCATTCAGTGGTGCAAACGCTGGTTGCGTGATTCATAACTGACCTGCAAGCTCTTGTTGCGTTTGCTTTGAGTCTTCATCCAGTGGAGCTTGCAATTACGCATCTCCAAACTTTCGAGGCTTCCGTCTGGCGCGCTGCTGGCCACCAAGACCGAAATCACCACTTCTAAAACGTTTGTGCCAATAATTGCACATTTCTCGGGGCACAACATCGGCACCAAGAACACTGCAAATCGATTCCCGTTCTTTAGGAGTATTATTTCCCTTGTTGGAATTTGTCCAAAATGCTCTGCCACCGTGAACTCTGCTATTCTGAAAGGTTATGTGAATCTAGGGTTCTTTCAAAATCACAAAAGACCGCGGAAATATTTCTCATTTTTGTGCAATTTTAATCTCGATGGAAATATTTGTACAACTTAAGTCATAAGTCCAGTACCACCTCTACATGTGTTCGTGAAGTTACGCTAGATTAAACTGCCTTCTCCACCTCCCCACCCACCTCCTCTTGCTCCACCCTTTCGCTGCTCCATTTTGTGAATTTTAAATCGCCTCTCTTGCAACATGTTTCTGCTCTGCGACCTTGTCGGTGTGTGTTTGCAATTGGTCGAACAAATCGTGTTAATTTGCGTAGTCTTGTTTAATAGAATTAAACTACCTGTTGCAAAATGTCTTAAACCGTGTTGTTTAAAAACCACGAGATACCAACGCCTCATCGACTGTCATATCGTTGACCGAACTCCGTAAACAGGAGCTGGCATTAGAGCCCTCTTGGGTAGCCATGGTAACCAGGCGTCAAAACCGCTAATGCATTTAAACAAGTACTAACACTCCGTTTTTACAGCGAGAATGTTGCCTTGATTAGGCTAGCACACAGCGCTTAAGTCAGTTTCATAAAGGGATTATCGTTTGCATGGTTCTGGCGCTGCAAATCACCACTCAATCCTCTAGGTGAAGATTCTTGAGTCGTCCTACGACCTCATCGTGGACGCCCTCTTTGGTTTCGGCTTCCGACCCCCTCTGAAGCCGGATTTCGCCGAGGTGGTCCAGTGCATCGCTGATCTGCAAGTTCCCCTGGCTTGCATCGACGTGCCTTCAGGTTAGTTTGCCGCCTTGATTTGGTTTGGTTTCGTGCATTCGTGAGCGAAAGTTTCATTGGTGCTTGGCAGGATCAAAATATTTCGCTTTCACTTCGTCACTGTGCCTATATTACTGACTCCTATTAAGTAGTTTACAAGCGCAGTCTTGAAGCTGCCTCTGCCCGAGCCATAAACCAATGCCTCACCTCACTGAATGACCTCCCAAGTTCTGAAACACTTTCAATGCTTATACGCACAAACCTTTTTTGGTGACCTCTCGGAAGTACTGACGACCATAAACGACTGTTTGTCATGAGATGGCGAAAATGTTAGCTGCAAGGGTGAAATAATAAGCTTGTTAAGCAGTGTGTGTGTGTGTGTGTGGTAAGTTGTAGCCAATCAAATTTTTGCACAATTGGTAAAGGGGCCTTTTGTCGCGTGTGTTCTAATGCATAATCTTCATGTTGAGCGATTCATTGTGACATTCTGGTGCTTTAATTAGACGAAGTCAGTATGACAAAATCAGATGAATTTCTTGGATTGTTTTGGGCAAATTTCGTTCCCTGATAATTGAATTGTATATAATTATCGCTGATTTTTTGTTGCTCGTCCTAGACACTCACGCAATGACTGTGGTTCTTATGTGAAAATGCAAGACCACACTAAATTGCGCATGAAAGCAGATGCTACGCACCAGGCGATTGATGGAATGCTTTTCAGGGGCACTTCTTGCACCGAGTAGAAACATCAAACATGCTTAAAGTCAGCTGAACGGAAATAGTTTAAATTTCTGCCTCCCCCCTTTTTCCAAGCGCTCTGAATCACTGATGCGATCGCATGCAGTGTTGTTGCTTGCGCGTGTTTTAAGGCAAGGTTCTGGCAATTGCTCCGCTTCCTGCATTCAAATCTGTGCTGCTTTTAAAGCGTTTATACACACAAAAACTGGTCTTTTTTCACGAAAAGGAACTCGGCAATTGTAGGGCGTCTATAAACGAAAATCCCACGCCGATCCATGGTTTTGGATCCACGCGAACCTTTGATAGTTGACTTCTGCTAGCTAAACACAACCGCATTTGTACAAGATGACTCACAAGCTCCAAAAACCGAGCCTTCTCAGTGCTTCAGGCACTGTTTGCTGACCTCTTAACTGATTGGTTGCTCCAGCGGCTTGACTTGACCTTGGGTGAACCAATCAGATTGGGCCATCGTTTTCCGTTAAACTGACGGGGACAGTTATAAGCCGTAGTTGGTGTTAGCGAAACTACTCCTGGAGATGAAGGGTTTTGAGAAACTAACCATGAATAGTCGTCACGGTACGTGCTCAAACTCACTCCCACTTGACCAAATCACAAACTCAATTCACGTGCCTATCCTTGTAACTGGCTCAAGCACGATCACACACCCACCTTACTTTGTAAGTCAATTTGAGTCGAAAAAATCATTAATCTGGCTTGCCAGTTTCAACCGTTTACTCTTGACTTAATTTAGGCACGCATAAACCTTTAAAAGTTGGCTATTTAGTCACTTTAGGATTTCTCTTGAGGTGTTCTTGCTTTAACGGAGTTCAATTCGTTTAAAAATCGGCCAACATTTTGAGTTTTATTTCGAAACCGCCGCACAACTTGAGTTACGACTGAAAGGCATCATTTCAATCGTTTGAAAGTGATTGGTTTTTGGGATCGTAGATATGTTTGTCTTTGGGAAATCCCAATTGCTCTTGTGATTGGCTAATCAAAGGAACAAAAGTCGCCTCTCGAAGTTTGCAAATTGTGAAACCTCAAAACCCATCCAATCAGTATTCAGTGTTGGTTTCGGCGTAGACAAAGGCATGAACTCGCGTCTAACCTTGAAGTGACCAATAGTCGTGAAGTAAGCGGCTAGTTTGCTGTGCCATTGGTGGCCCCTTCAACTGCGACGAATGGCTCCAAATTGACACAACCACCGCGTTCACGAGTCAGTCTCTTGGCTGTTTATGAGGCGCTATATTTGCCTACTTGATTATGACCGTCGTTTCAGCGGACATTAGCGTGTAAATTTGCCATAAAACGCATTGCTCTTTTTTAAGATAACCTGCAAGTAATTAGGCTCATCTCCTCACCCACGTCCCCTGCCGTAACCCCCCTCACCTCTCCACAACGCCTTTGATGTGCCGGCCTCATTTTTTTCATCATGGGTTGATTATGGTTACGGGGGGACGTTTCAAGCAGCAACTGTATCGGGGTAGCTACTGCCTTGATTCCCGTTGTGACTGCTTCCACCTGGCGTATTCGCCCACGATCGATACGAGTGCTCGAATTTGATTGGTTCACAATCGTGTGTTGTCTTAGCAACCAATCAGGGAGATGCCATAGCAAATAATGGCGTCGGCGAGATTAGTCTCAGCTGCAATTAAAATGCTACTTAGGCACGTGGAGATTGATACATTTGTTTGAATTACCTGGAAAATTAAAAATTGTCTCACTGAGTCGTTTGGTTGCTATTGTCTGGATTCTAAGTGACCTGTTACACCAGGCACTGGGTGAGCTTGATTGCTCAAATTTGATTGATTCAAGCTGTTTCTGATTATGCGAAGGTTTCGTATTGATCATTGGTTTCCTAAACAGCCAATCAGAAGCCTGCTTAGTGCAAGTCGATCGAATGCTATTGGTTCGTGTGTCGTTAGCTTGCTGACTGTCTCTGTTGCAGGTTGGGAGGTTGGAGAAAAGACGGAGACAAAGGACATTCTGCAACCAGACTGTCTGATTTCACTCACCGCTCCTAAACTTTGTGCTCGACGATTCAACGGTCGCTTTCACTTCCTCGGTGAGACTATATTACTGACTTCTAATAAGTAGTTTACACTCCAACCTGAATGTGCGGAAAGTAGGCATTCAAGCAAAACCAACGTTTCATAGTGACCAGAAAAGTTATAGTTTGATGTGTGACCATTCTAAAGAGTGTAGGATGAAAAGAGTTGTGTTTTTCGAATTGTGTTTGTGTAAAATCTTGACAGCAGAAGCGCATTTCCGCTGCCTCTGCACGAGCCGTAAACCAATGCTTCACCTCACTCAATGACCTCCCGAGTTCTGAAACACTTTTAATCCTTGTTTGGTGACCTCTCGGAAGTACTTACTACGATAAACGACCGTTTGTCATGAGGTGGTGGAAATGTTATTTCTAAGAGTGAAATGAGAAGCTTGTTAAGGAGTGTGTATGTGTGTAGCAAGTTGTAACCAATCGCATTTTTGCAAAATTGGTAACGGAGCCTTTTTAGCGATTCATTGTGACATTTTGGTGCTCTCATTAGAATTTCACCAGAATCACAACGCCATCATTTTGGCTCTTAGTTTGTGTTGATGATTAATTAAGTCGACACGTGGAGATTTAATTGCTGACAGGTGATAGTACTTAGTACTATTTCAGTATCAAAATGTATTCCCATTTTACTGATTAGAAGTTCAAATCAGCTTCATCTGGCACTCGCGCCGTTGTAACAATCCAATGCGTCTCACATACCAAATTACAAGCAAATAATTGGTTGAATACTATCCCAATGCCAATATCGGAGTTGGGCCGCCCATGGGCGTGTTCAGTGCTTGAAAAAAACGTTTTTCTGCGCCGGCCAGCCCGCCCGCCTGATTGTCATTCAAACAGTGACCTTGGCGTCACCCAATAATGGTAGACTGTGTCAACTAGCCCGAGTTTTCAGTCGCGGAGTTTGGCTGCCTAATTATTCCTAGTAAGCACTGCCTTATTTGAGCTCAATTTCTCCCCAAAACACGATTAACTGGCAGCTTATTCGATTGTCGTTTCTCTATTATTACGCGGTAATTATAATCGCAGATGTTGAGTGCAGAATGGCCTTAGATCAGCACTCTACCTGCTTAAACTAAAACCGTACTTATTACATAATAGTAGTGTGTTTATTTACCACTCAGGTGGTCGATTCGTTCCACCAATTTTGGCCGACAAGTACAACCTGTGCCTGCCTCAGTACCCAGACGCGTCTCCTGTTGTGCTGCTCAGTGGTCCCCCACCACCGACTCCCAGCAAGTAGACCGTCGTCTCACCCACTGCCGGCCTATCAAACCTCGATCATCGTTGTCGCCAATCACAGTTGTTTGTCAATCGATGTTGACTCGATTACTTACTTTGAGCACTAATTAAAAATAGGTGTTTATGAAAGAAATTTGCTATTGGTAACGCAAACTACCAACCAAGGTGGGTTTACTGTAGGCGATTGTGCAACCAATCAGATGTCGCGTAGCATTTAACCAAACCGACCAATCGGCTTCGCGAACGCTCCAGCGTCGGAGAACAAGGACAGAACGACAGGTGTGGACAGCACAGCTTTGTGTTTAGCATCTTCGCGGGGATGCCACTTGTGAACAGTCTGGATGAATGCGAAGCCAGTGGTGGTGGCGTAGGCACTTATCATCATCATCATCATAACGTAAACCTGTTTGAATCAGCTACCAGCACCCAATCGGTGTTCACCTGGGACCAGCTTGCACAAAATGCGCGAAATGTAACGTCCATGGCACGTGCGTCTCTGCAAAGTATTAATTTCTCTTCGTGACCTTGGCCAACCAATCAGAAGGGAGTCCACATTGACCTTGAACAGTCGACATGCTTACTGTTACCTGGCGTGTATTTATATATATAAATATGCATGTAGAGTGTGTCTGGGATCGATAAGGGGGGAAGGGGGCTCCTATGACCTCTCGTGGGAGTCACGCAGGGTTCAGGGGGGGTGTGGGAGTGGATGGAGTGCGACTTGTGATCGAGGTTCACAGAGTAAATCACCCTAACAAAGCGACAGAATAGGAACAAAATACTACGCAAACTCAGACAGAGTACGGCGGTGTTAATCTGTGGAAAAGAAACCAAAGGAAAAGAACCAAAATAACACACGAGAAGGCGAAATAGGGCAGTTCAGTGTGTGTGGGTGTGTGTGTTTTTGCTTGACATGATTGTGTGCGTCGATAAAAGCATGAGAATTGCTCCCCACTACGCTGGCCTCGCGTCCTGGTTCCCGCCACTCATCTCAAGGTCGTCTGGTGCAGCCTCGTTTGTTTGAATGGGCGCGCGCGCCGCTACGGCCTGTAATACAAAAACATCAGTTACGATTGGCTAGTGTGTTTGAGGGCGCATTTTTGTGGCACAACTCAGCCTACCTCGGCCGTGGACGAGCCGTTTGTCACATGGGAGGTTGCTGCGGCCTCAAAAGCGCTTTGAGACGAGGGGAGGTGACTGAAAATCGGGCCGCCGTTTAGTACCATCATTGCCATTGTGTCCGTCTGCTGCTTCACAGCGCTGCCCGTGGACTTGAGAGGTAAAAAAAGCAAAAAAATCGTGAATTATGAGCCCCACACCCATTCTAGGCGCGCATTCGCGTCGAGGACAGATTTTGTTTAAATGAATCAGGCGTTCCGGGGGGTGCCGCTAGGCGCGCGAGATGAAAATCGATCACGCAACGTCGTGGTGTGCTATAAACACACACGCACACCCACAACGCACGCCGACTTTGTCCGCACAGAGGCGAATTTCCGCTGCAGTAACCAACACCAAATGATTTGTTTATGCCTTCGGTAATGCTAACCCCGGTTTTTACATCCTGTTTCACCGTGACAGCGAATCCAAAGCGCATTGTTTATATCCAGATAGACTGACTTACAGCCACAGATGGTGTTTTCAAGTGTACACCAAAGCAGTCATTTCACAGACCTTTGCAACTCAATTACTGGCCAAAATCGATTAAATTTGTGGTGGTGGTGGTGGTGGTGATTACCTGAACATCCGCTAGACTGGCGGGAACAATGCGAGAATTTGATTGGACCGCGTAGAGCAGTTCACCGCTAGCTGTGGCAACCTGTCGAACCGCGTTCAGGAGACGTTCTCGCGTGGGCATCACTCGCGTTGGATCGTCCACGGGCGCTGCAGTTGGACCTTGGGGCCGCGTCTCCGAGCACAGACGCGCCAGTTCGCAGAGGTGTTCTGTTGCCATGGAAACCGACAACTCCTATAGGGGAAAAGGGCACGAACAATCGACCACGCAATATTGCCATTTAACTCAAATCACTCGTCTGATTGTTGAAGCCATAGACTTACTGATCGACCCAAATGCATGCGATCGGGGTTTGAGCTGTCGGGTCGGCCGGCATTGGAGGTTGATGCTGATTGGACGGCTTGGATGAAGTCCCGCGTTGCCAGGGCAACGGAACGAGCCATGCACAGGATTGGTCGAGTGTGACTTGAAGCACTTTGAGTGGCCGTAGGCCGCATGCTCTGGAATTTAAGCACAGTATTTAATAACTATTCACTGATAAGGCAATTAGGCGACAAATACAAAGTTAAAACACACAAAAAAGGGATAATTCGATGCTCTAGGCCAAACGATGTGAATATGTTCGGTCACTGGTGCGGTGGGAGAGGGGAGAATATCACAGCACCAAGTAACCCAAACATATCTCATCGTTAGAGCCCCACGTTTTGACAGGCGACAACTAAGTCTACGCGCCTACCCGATAGAGGTCGCTTTCCAGTAATTGCAGAGCGCCTTCAATGCGTCTTCCAGCTTCCGTTGCGGCCCCTCTGCCCACCAAAATGCGTCCCGTTGAATCGAGCCGCGCCTGCAGACAACTGACCTGACTGCCGACCGGCCGGCTGGAGCCATCTGAAAACACAACGTCTACTAATCAAGTTTCAGTAGCGTATTTTGCGCAGTTGGAGTTAATTCCAACTTACCACGTGCACTGCATGGCTCGTAATGGTGGTGGAAGGCGATGTGACGACCTAAATACTTCTCAGCAACATCACGCCCTTAGAAAATGCAGAAAGATTCAGTTTAAGCGTTAAAACAAAACACCGAAGGGAAATTCTCAGTAATTTTCAACATGCTAATTGTTTTGCTTTCAGTAATACTTACATTCAGGGCTGCTAACACGGAAGTACATGACCAGTCGTGGACCATCTGAGATTTGAAAATGGCGGTTCCAATTAACCAATCAAAACGACCGAGTGGCGGCGGCGACAACGACGATGCAAAGGAAGCGTAGGCGAAGTAAGAAAAGGATTCGATTAAGTGGCAGTTAAAATGTCAAATCTCACTGCTAATTGCTTTCGCATCAACCCGCCGGCTAATTTATCATCTCTCTGGTAGTGTAGACAACTAACCTCGCATCTGGTCGATAAGGTGTGCCAGGTGCCGCGTCATGTCGCTGAGTTTGGCGGCTGATGTGGAGACCCGATTTCGCGTCTTCTCATTGGCCTCTGCGATGACCTTGAAATGAAATGACAGGAAATCGATACAATTAATCAAACAGGCACGACGACACGATTTAAGTTGTTGAACATAAGTCAAATTAAGCTCAAAGTCGACGCCTCGGATATTTGGACGTCGCGCCTTCACTAGGCGAAAATTCTAATTGGTTATTCGCTTTTTCATACTGTGTTTACAGCCAATTACAAAAATCACCAGTTTTAAATGAAAAAAATGTTGTTTTATTTGAATTAACCAATCAAATTTACACCACGGCAAAAACTTACGCATTTGACGGATTCCATCAGTTCAGCAACTTCAAGGGTCACTTGTTCCACCACCTCTCCAGTCTCTTTCCGCATGTCTTCTCGGATTTCTTGTTGGCGTTGAAGGTTCTACAAAGCAATGACGACATCGCGGAGGCATGAGAACAGGCAGCGGTAGACGTGTCGCGCACGGCAGTTCGTATATTTATAAATCAGAGATGCAGTAGCACGCACGCTCATTGGCTAACACGGGCCAATCCGGACACCGGTGTTTGCGGCCACGGACCAATTAGGACCCGCACACACGTGCAGAACGCCGCGTGTGGGTGGTGAATGCGCGCTTCGTTCGGGGGTTTTATCACATAAACTTGGCGATAAGCTGGACCACCGTCTCAGGGCACGAACACAAACAATGCCGTGGAACCACGACGACACCAATTTGTGATAAACAACTTTCAGTGGAGGGTGTGTGTGTGCGTGTGTGAGAGATTTGTCAACACAGGCTCAACACACAAACCCAATTCGTTGGTGGTTATGCAGTGGTGGAACGTTTGCTTCACACCCAATTTTTTTCGCAAATTACACGCAAATTTTGAGCCCCAAAAGTGTTTCATTGATACTATGTACGTTTGGAAAAAAATTTTTGTCCACAGTACACGCCTTGAAACATGTACCAATCACTGCGTGTATGACCACTTTATGTTGCGTTTCGCGAATTTGGAACAAATTGAAAAGAGGATGATGATGATGATGGCGGCTGGCCGTTTTTCGTGAAAAAAATTATGGTGAAAGGGAAGTACCTTGCAGGAATTGACAAGATCGATCACGGCACGTCTGGCGGTGGTTGCGCAGACGAGTGCGTCATCTTGTCGTCTGGAGGAGGCGGCGGTGACGGCTTTCTCGACAGTGGCTTGGATGGGGCCGACGGAGGCGCGCGATAACTCATCCGGTGCGAGGTAGCGCGACACGAGGCTCGAGGTGGTGGAGAGGGTTGTCGCGCTGCCCAGGTCATTCATGCTCGGCGCTGCACTGCCCGTAGTCGTGGCAACGGACACGCGATTGGCTAATTGGCGGGCGAGGTGAGCAGTTGCGATGAGAGCCTTCGTGCCACGCGTCGATTCCATGTCGATGGAATCGACTGACTTCAATAACACGGCTGCACGCGATTCAAATGCCTACGTAAAATTGCAGAGCAGGTCAGTAAGAGTTTAGCGCGCTCTGATTGGTTGAATGTTGAGGACACGAAGGCGCTTGATCGGTTTCTACTGTGACATTACGTGCACTCTGTGCGATCATTGTTAAGCGAAATATGCAGGTAACCATCAGCTGACTTTCGAGGAAGGAAATAGAGGGATTTACGGGCATTAATCTGTCATTTTCACTTGAAGTTATTACTTACATTTCGAGATGACTGAAGCTCCTCCATGGCTGGATCCTCCTTCGATCGATTGTGGACCTGGGAGGCAGCCAATAGGGTGCTTCGGAGAGCCACTGCAGTGTCTTTTGCGGCACCAAGGACGCGCACCTTCGACGCAAAATCGATAGCGGTGGAGGAACGGGGGGAGCGAGAAAGATACACAAAAGACAAGATGAGCAGGAGTTCGCCTCACGCACAACTTATAAATTCGATAGGATGAGAAACAGGGCATGCCTATGGGTAGCTCAACAGGGACGGGGAGGGGGAGGTGGATGCAGAAGGAAGGGGGAGAGGCCATGGGACGAAAGGGGAAAGGGGGCGGGGCTAGCGAATTCGAGGCCGAGCAAAAACGTGGTGGGCAAAGCTACGGCACCGCTACACTCATGCGGCAGATCCACCAGCAACAAATGGTATTGAAACCAATTAAGTAGTTTGTATATTTTACATGCGGACAGATAGACGAACCAGACGGTTGTTGCAGTACCGAGTGCACAACGAAGAGTGAGAGGGAAAGGGGGAGGGATAGACGTAAGGCGAATGAGGAACGACATATGATAGGACAACAGTCAGTTCACGAGAAGCGACCTCAATTCCGAGCACTTTCTACCTCAACATCTTACTATTGTCACTTAGTATTATTTTCGTCCTACATAATGCTATCAACAAGCAAATTATGGGCCAGAATCTTAAGGTGTAGAGGTGCCGTCAGAGCTTTCCCTTCAAAAAGACGTTCCATTCGCATTATGAGAACGTTAAATCTTACAAGTGAATCTACAGTCTTCTGGGCGTTAGTCCAACGTTTGTATGTTAAGCACTACTTTTTTGATTTAAGTAGCAAAAAGTGGATCATTCGGGACAGAGAACTTACTTGGCTGTCAGATTGCCCGGGTCCGATTAGAGCCGCACCTTGTTTCACCACGTCGGCCAATTGGGAGATGTTGCGGACGGCCAGCTGTGTGGAGCCGGCTAGTCGATTTTGGTCTTCACCTGCCCCAATGACCAGAGACCGCGTGTCCTGAACCAGCGCGTCAGCCGCACGATGAATACTCTCGCTGTGAAAACACAGAAGACGGGCAACCTGATGATGTGTCCAAAGTATTCGAAACACTCGTTGCATAAGAAAGCATAGTACGATTCACGAACCACGTCTACGTGATCGTCGATTGGATAGTTGGTACCGATTATTGATTAACAATACTGCACGAGTACTAACCGGATGCTGATGAAGTTGCTCTGGGCCTCATGTCCGAAATCGTCGTACACCCTGCCACCACCTGAGGTAATTGACGAGTACATTTCATGTCTTTGGCGCGATTCTAATTGGTGCATGTCATAGTCGTCTCGGATTGGTGGATGCAGGGTGCCGGAGCTGGCAAAGAGGATGGTGGTGTCCAAATCCGCGATAATTCCACTCACAGTGCTGGCGCCTTGCAAACACGCCTGTGTTCCCGGTCCCTGGGCCTCGAGCAGCGCAATCAACTCGCGTAGCTACAGTGAAAATAAATATCTACTTAATTCAACAAAAGTAAGCTGTTTATTTAAACCTGACCAGCGACTTACCCGATCGTTCATCGCTCCTGCAGAGAAATCCAAACTTCGCAGGCTGGCAGGCACGTTTGAATTGGTCGAGGTGCGGCCCAAGGTGTCCGGTTTCGAGGCCGCGACGTTCACGGTGGCCTGAATCAAACCGCGTGTGGTCTGACCGAGATTTTTCACTGCCCAGCGCAATTTTTCGGCCTGGTGCGGATCGTGCAGGGTTTCACAGGCGTCGCGCGTTATCATGCACAGTTCTGCGTAGTCCTGGGCTAGATTCTGGATCAGTCTGGTCATCTCCTGGCTCGTCGACTCCTGCGGACGCCGCGCGGTCAACACAGTCGCCTGCGTCTGCTGTTCCATGTGGCGCGCGAGGCGCAGCATTCGTGATTGGTAGTCGCTGAAATGCGCGTCTTCAGATACCCGACCGGATTGGTCGACCTTAAAATACGCGAAAGGGCACGTAGAAGTCGTGATTTAAGTAGTAGTAGTTCTTGTCCCACTGAAAACACCTCAACTTACTAGGGCTTGTGACTCAGCAAGAACCGCGGTGAGTTTTACGATGAAATTTTGCTGGGAGGAGATAGTGTCGATGGCGGAGAGGAGTTCTTCACAGGAGTCAACCTGGGCCTTAACTGCGTCGTCCACAGCGTCGGCGATCGAATCCGACTGTGTAGAAAATGACTACTTACAAATTGTGAGTAGCGTCAATTTCGCAAGTCTAAGAGTGAACGTACCTTTGCATTCCCTCCGGCCTGCTTGGACACAGAAACCAGTTGTTCGGCGGATTCAAGGACCGTGCGTGTGTGTTCCACGTAGATCATCTGCGAGGACGCATCAGGAGCTCGCGATGCAGCTCCAAGCGCGCCGGAAACAAGTCCTGGTAACAGGAGATCCAGCTCACGCACTGCCTGACCCAGTCGCTCGGCTTCCGCTTTGGCGCTACGGCCGACTTGGGGCGCGATGTCACGCACAGCTCGAGCTGACGTGGATAGTTGCTGGAGCAGGAAGAGGCGTGACTACATACTACTGAATTTACCGTCTGATTTAATAAGTAGCATTCACACAAACCCTCAAAAAGCCCTCCTCGGTGCTGTCGTGTCGTGGGTAGGTGCTACTGTCCATCATCGCCATCTTGTTCTGCTCCAAGTCGTGCAGCAGTCGACGAATATTCAGAAGGGCGCGTTGGCATTCTGATTGACCCGGGGCCTGTGAACTGGAATATCAAAAAGCACATAGAATAAATAGTGTTACTGACTATAATGTAGTAGCAATGACTAATTGAACTTGCTTGAGGACGTTGAGCAGGCGCTTGGTGTTGTCAGTAAGATCACGACTTGCCGCAGTGAAGGCTACGAACGCCGAATCCGAGGCATCGGCCTTTGCATCTGCGGTTTGAAGCATGTGCTTGGACGCCAGAATCACGCCTCGGCCGCTCTCCAAGCAAGCGTGGCCGGACGCACAGATTGGACGCTGAGTCTAGTTAAGGAAGAGGCAAATCGTTAGGAAGAAGTTGACAGCAATAAGGACATCAGCTCAAGCTTACTTCGTGGGCTTCACTGCTGATTTTAGCCGGTTGTCGCACAAACTGCGTTCCAGAGGTGATGAAACGAACCAACTGCGAGACCTGCGTGTTGACGGTGTGCACGTAATTGGCGGTGGCACGGCGACCTTCGTCTGACCAATCAGCGCTGCGCTGGATGAGGTCACTCATGCTCCGTATTGTGTCGTCCGACATGGCCTGCAATTTGCGCTTCGCCTCCTGATCGGTTGTTTCGGCAATAATCGAGTCATACGCCTGCCGAAGCGTCCGCAGGTGAGCGGACATCTCATTCGCAAGATTGACAACCTACCGCGGAAGAATTTTGATTGGACAAATCCTCGCAAAATTATCAAAGCACGCTGACCAATCAGTTGCGAGTGATGAAATGCCATTGATAGCGCTTACTCAAATTGAACAGATCAACCAATTAAAATTCGTTTTTTTTGAAAATTTGTACGGTTCGAAATATTTTTCCGAAAACAAGTTGTGAGTCGTTAGAGATATTTTGAAAAAAAAAGTGAAGTAAGCGGGCACACTCAAGGCACAAAGGAGGAATTAGAAAACCGAAACAAATTCCAGCAGCTTAGACTTACACGAGCACGATCCTGTAAACAATAAGCAGGTAAGTCGTTAGCAGAAAATACTACTTAAATTTAGTTCAGTAACTAGTGTTTTTAATATTTGGGTCGTTTACGCCCAAGGGACGCTGCCTTGTAGATAAGATCGTTCGTTAGCTCAAGTGAAACGATAAGCTTTCAAGCACATTACAACTGAACAAATTAGCACGCCAATCAGTTGTTGCGTCGCCTACAAATAATTACACCCAGTTCTGCTCCATTATTGGCCAGGAGCGACCTCGAGAACCAGCCAATAATCTTGCGCGTAGTCAGTTATTGAAAAAACTTAGGAGCAAGCTAGGCTGTTTTTGCTGTTAAGACTAAATCTAGACTTACCTCACGTTCAGTAACTTGGGGACTAGTCATTGCACGACCCAAATTCTGGATGTCCAGCTGAAGTCGTTCAAATAGAGCAACGTCCAGGAAACCACTTCTTCCAGGCTCGGACGTGGGGTGAGCAGCGCCGATCAAATATGCCGCCTAAAGATAGCAAAATGTTAGACACAGAAGATGTGCCGAGAATGAACAACCACTCAAGATTTGAAATACCTGTGCCGTTTCCTCGGTGATTTGACACAAACAATCAGCCATTTGTCGAATGTTCGAGGTCAACACGTCAGTGTTGAGCGATCGGACGCCGTTCAGGGTGCCACGAATGCTGTCCGACAGTGGCTGTAATGTGAAATTAGAGCGATAAAATGCTCCCTACTAAACAAATATAAGTAGAAAGGGTGTCTCGAGATGGCACTCACCGCAAGAGCCTGGGCAACTGACTCGACGCACGTGTGGTACAGATGCTGGCTGAGCGGGCGGTCGGGGTAGTCCAGCAGACGACGCATCGTCTCGAGTCGGCGAATAGCGGCGTCGCATTCTGCCACACCTGGAGCCACGTCTGACGTCGAGAGACTTAATAAATTACTGATACCGTCTGTAACCGACCTGGAAGTAGACAGCGTAAATAAACCTTAATTAGCCAATCAGCTGGGGTGGATGGATTTTGGTGAGCACAAACGCCACGCTACCTCGCAGCCACGTGGAGGCGTTGGCGTAGACCTTCGGATTCCGGCTGGCTGCAGACTTGTCGCGCGTCGTCGAGCATCGCGCTGCTCTTGTCCGACACCTCCACCAGTCCATGGATCAGCTGACGTCCGGTCGGGTCGTTGAGAGGCCGGCTGCGCGATAACTGCAGACCCTTGTCGACGAGAGCGTCGTAGGCGCCTACGAAGCGCACGGATGTGCGCTGGAAGTTGCCAGGCGTGTAGCAGCTCGTCAGGTCCGCAGTCGCCTTAAAGTCGATAAGAAAACCGTGAAATCAAGGCGGTTGGAAAGGAGAAGGATGTTGAAAGGACAGATCACCGCTCACCTGGTTGAACTCGACGGCCGCTCCGGTGAACTCCGACTGGGTCCGCTCGTAGCGGGACTCCTCAACCGGGTACTCGATGACTGTGGGGTTCTCTGCGAACCGCACCAGCTCCTTCCGCCGTCGTTTCACCAGGTCCGAAGCCTCAGTGAGCTCCTTTTGTCCAGGCAGCGCCTTCAACAGACAATCGTTGAGGGCTTGGTGGAGGTCATTGCCGAGGACGCTGCAGTTGCCGGCAACCGTCCGATTACTCTGCAACACCTCTGACTGTCGGTCTGGAGAGGCGACCGGAGACACGACGTCGAGTTTGCGCGACTCGCAGACAAGTTGGTACGCCACCTGCGCCGCGATCCGGGCAGCAACCGCTGCGTTGACGTCGGCTGGCGTTTCGCTCGAGAATCGGCCAGGATCCGCAACTAGGCAACACCGAGTAGCGCGCAGGAGATCGGAGAGAGCTGTGGCGAGACGGTTCGCTGACGCACCAAGCCACTCCTCCTCTTGGTCGCGATTTGGCGACTGTGGCGCGGCATAGACGGTGGTGAGGGACTCCACTGCCGACTTTACCTCACCGCAGGCGTCTTGGCCATCGCGTACACTCAGTCTCAGCATCTGGAACCGGTCTTCTACCTGGAAACAAACAACGCTGAAGACTTCCGATCACAAAGACGAAAAGGCTTTCAACGAATTACTCAACGTACCCGATCGTCTGGAAGGGACATTAGAGTGCCAGACTTAGCGAGAGCTTCCATCTCCTCGGCTTCTCGAACGATTCGAAGGAGACGCGCCAGAGCACCGTCCATCTGGAGTTGTCTGGCTATCGGCGACGCACGAGCCAAACACGCCTTCAACGTTTCCACGGCAACGACCATCTGGGAGGTGGAGTTGTCGAGAGCGTTTTGCAGCGACGGGTCACTCACAGTTGGCGCCATCGAACGACAGGAACGTGCCAATTGGGTGCACGGCTACAAGGCGCGAAATTAAGTGAGGGCTTTCAAACGAGCTAACTTGATTGGCTGTCAGCCGAGTGCCGCCAACCAATCAGACGCTGAGAAGACTCACCTGAATAATATGCTCGCAGGTGTAGATTAATTCCAACTGAGCCAATGGATCGTCAGGATTGCGGCGAATAAGGCGGATTGCACTGACCAACTTCGGCAGTGAATCACTCACCGACCTTTCGTCAGCTACCATCTAGAATAATCAGGAAAATCGCCAATTATTATAGGCAAAATGTCAAACGACTACAACAGAACAATAAGAAATTTACATGGTAATTGTTAGCTCGGGATTTCTTGGCAGCACAGCGACTGGTTGTGACGAGGCTGTTGGACGCACTAACCACGGCTCTCGCGGCGGCGTGGAGGCTTCTAATGACGCGAGCATTCAACAACTCAGCTGCTGACGCATAGGCCACAACAGCCAACTCGTCAGATAGACGCTTCAAGTCGTCTTGACTTGACTTTGAATCCGGATTTGTCGAACAAATCTACAGATATAATTGTTGATGAACTAACTACTGATTCATTATAAGTAGACGTAGTTTATAAAAAGACGGTATGTACCTTGGCCTGGTTGATAAGATCAGTGGTGACATCAGCCAATTGCTTAGCAGCGGCAAACAAGCGAGTCTGGCGATCAGGATCGCCCTCAACATTCTCCGCGTGGGTCTTTAAATCGGCGATCATCTGAGCAGTGACCTGAGAGAGACGTCTCGCTGCAGCCACCATCCTTAGACCGTCGGTTTCGTGTTGCAGATCGTCATACGCTTGCTGGAACAAGTCCAGTGTATCGCCTTGGTAAGGCTAGAGGAGCCAGAGACGGCTGTTGAAAGCACGCACACGACGAGACAGACAATGAGGTCAAAGAATCCTCAACGTGGGCTTACCTTGACGGACCCTCGTTGAAGGTGCGCGTTGAGTCGATCTAGAGTGGTGCGTACGTCAGTCGCGGCGTCTTCCACCTCCACGACGGCAGCGTTGATGTCGTGGACCTCGGCATCGGACAGCGTTGGCGAATCGTGTGCGGATTGGCCAGCATTTCGGGCCGTCCGAACAACACCGTCCACCGCCACAGACACCTCACGTGCTGACTCCGACAGTTGCTGCTGGCAACTAGCCTGCTGAATAGTCGGAGCCAACACCTGAAACCGAGGAAGGTGTGGATTGGTTCGTGCTCACAGTGAAAGCGATTCCGATTGGCTAGCCGTGAAAGTCACCCAAGTCAAAAAGTTGCATTGTTTTAGATGTCAACATGCGAGTGTGAGTTCTAGTTAACCCTTAGGCGTAACGATAAATGCTGCAGATCTCGTTCATCCAATCAGGAAGCGCCTCTAGCAAGCGTTCAACGTGGTGCAATTTAAACTCCCGCCAACCTCTGATTGGCTGGTGAAGCAGCGAAGAGTCGATAAACCCACCTTTGTGCAAGCCACCAGCTGACTCGTGCACAGACCAGTCTGAGTCGCAGACACGATGACGCGCTGCTGGTGATCTGGATCCAGGTTGGTCTGAGTTGCAAGGTGCTTCGCCCTGACAACCAGAACGGCGGTGGCGTTGGCAACCTCCTTCGCTAAACCCAAGAGCTCATCCTGAAAGCCAATCAGAACGTCAGAACTTAACCGGGAGGCAGGAATGTGTGTGTGCGAAGAGACATCAAGTTTGCTACACAAAGTACCACACACCAAGCACACGAAGCGCTAACGAGGGTTAGGATTAGGGAATATTCTACAAAAACTGACCTGGTACAAGATTAGAGGGTCATCCTACAAAATGTCAGAGAGCGAAGGTGAAATTGAGGTATACTACTAGTACTTCGACAGTAGTATGATAAGGTATACTGTAAAAACAGACTAATTGTGCACAGCTGAAGCATCAGATGGAACACTCATTGAGCAGCCGAGAGTATTTACCTGATACAGGCGTTCTTCTTTGGCCAAATCGAGGCCGATTCCATCTTCGACGCCGACCTCTACCGTCAGGGCTTCGTCGTCTTGCATGACGTAGCGCAGGAAGTCATTGCTGGCCTCGCCAACGCGGTTCGCGGCTTCCAGGATGGCCTTGCGCGATGACGCGCCCCCACTAACTTGAGGACCGTGCTCGGTGACGTAGTTGACGGTGTCCAGGTCGTATTCAGTCTAATACGCGGCAAAAAGCAACGTACTGAACTAATCACACACAAATCCCATAAAAACGTCGCTACAGAATTCGTATCCACCGCATTCATCCTATTGGCTCAACTCCCTAGAATTTGATTGGCTGTCAAGGTCAATCAAGGTCACACTAATACTACTCCTCTACCAACTGTGGAACGTTAAAAAAAGGCCACATTAGTTGAGCCTGGGTAAAGTGACCTTTGTTCACACAGTCTATTAAAACAAAACACCTCTAGTGCCTTGAAAAAAGCGATTTCCATACCAAACAACTAGATTAAACAATGCGCGTTAATTTGTTTCACAGGCTCCGAGAATAAATATTCACGCACCAGGTTTAATGGAAAATTACACTTCATGTAAGCGAGATGGACGTGCCAAGGCACTGTGATAATTTGCACTCTAAGGTGAATTTATGATTGGTCAAAACCCAGTCTCTCGATTTGTCTGCGGTAGTGTGGCGGTTAATTGCGAAGTCTCAAGGCCACAGGAAGTGACGTAGATAGGGCACAACTTAGTTTAACCAATGGAAACCACTGAATATGCAGCCAACACGACTCGACTAGTACACGAGGCGTGACCGACCTGCCGAGTTGTCAGTGGAGTGGCAGCCTTGAGGAGTTCAGTGAAGCTGTCGGCGACAGTGCGAGCCGCGCCCAACAGGTTTTGCGTGTTCGTCTCTGATTGGTCAGTGATGACATGTCGCATTTCCTCATCTGGCTCGCCTTCAGCACGCAGCATGCCCGACTCGCGTCGCAACACGGCGACCCTTTTAACGTTGTCCACGAACGCCGGGAAGTGGACGGTGACCACGCGGAAGGACTGCTGCATCATCATCAAATCGTCGCCGGGATCGGCGGCTTCAACACTGAAGGCGGCGTCGGCGCGATTCGCGGAACGCACGGCCTGCGCCACCGCGGCGTTCATCGCGCCCATCTCGTCAGCCACCTTCACTTGAGTGGCGCCCATCGACTCGTCTAGCCAACGGCGCGACGCCTCGTCGCGTCCGAGGTTCGTCAACACGCGCTCCACAGGTGGACCGATGTCTAGACGCTGTTTGCCCTCCTCCAGAGTGGTCATATTCTCCTCGATTGTCAAGTGAAGGGCGCGTTGAGCTGGTGTCATCGTCCTGCATTGGTAATACTGCGTCTACAACAAACATCCAATGACCTTGGATTAACCAATGAAGAGAGACGTAAACAAACGACCTTGAGGTGACCAATAGGGACGTGACCGCTGCAACTTCAAAAAAAACAACCAAACACCCACCCCGCCCGTCATGAAGTCGTCTGTGGTGTCGAGGGGCCGAGACCGACCGGGCTCGCTAGACAACGTCGCCGCCGCCGATTCCACCGCAATGTAGCGTCGTTCCGAGGTGCCGATGTAGCCATTCACATTTCCACCGTCGTCGACCTGTGTGGGAACGCCGTTTCCATTCACAAGGTTCACCGCCTGCTGCTGTTGCTGCCGGCGTTGTTTTTCGATCGTCTCCTCAACTCGCATCGAATTGCGTCCCCTGTCGGCCGGACCAACTGACCGCCGCTCATTTTGAACGAGTTTGGCGCTATAAAGAGGAAAAAAGTTATTGCCACCACATCTAAACCAATAGAAACGCGAGCAGTAAGCAAGCCACCCCATCAATAACCAATCAAATCCTCAAGGTTGTAAAGTGCTAAATGTGGTTACTCGGCATTTTCTTGGTGTGTTTTGAAAATGCTACTTACAGCCTGTCAGAGAAGTAAAATATGTAACAAACTAGACAAACCAGACGTCGATAAGACACACACACAAGCACGCTTTAGTTGTGTTTTTTGTCAGCAGACAAATTTCCATACACTGCGTGGTTTCAGCAGCACGCAGACATGAGTGAGATGTTTTTGCACGCGCCTAAAAGAGGGGCAGTGTGGTTGTGCGAAAGGACCAATTGTTGAGAGGTAGCCGGTTTCGCTTGCTCAATATTCACGACAGAAGGCGAGGTATCAGGGAGTACAAACTCACCGTTCAGCGCGGACATTCTCCTCGTACATCGCCGACTCCTCGTCACCCTGGATGCCCTGGTGATCGCGGGCTTTCTGCTTCTTCAAGATGATGTCGATGTAGCCGGCAATGAGCTGGGAGATCTGCTCGCCCTCCGACGTCTGAGCGGTGTAGTACTCGTCTGGTGAATACTCACCGAAGTCCTGCAAGTGGGAGAGGACATTTCAGACGACTTCCAGTAAGAAATGCCCAGGAATAAGATTGGGGATAAGAAGCGATTCAGTGAACCATGAAATGTAAACGTTAGAGGTTTATGACGCCGCCGGGAAAAGTACACAAACTAATTGGGAAGGGGTCAAGGGTCATAAAGTGAGGATTTTTGGGGTCACGGGGCTACAAAAGCGGGGCTTGGCTCACCATAGTGAAGGCGTTTGGAGAAGCAGCCCACTTGAGAATGGAGGTTAGCGGCCAGACCTTCACGACCTCCTTGGTGCGTTCATCCAATCGCACGACGCTGTCCTTGGTGATACCGAGGAGGCGTGGAACAAGCCGATTTTTGCCCTTCATCTTTTCCTGAAAGCCAAAAATATGCTGGATTGGTTTTTTCTGTCATCACGTTCCGCGGGAAAGTGATCTGATAATTCCATGTGGGACTGTGCGTTTGCGATACTTCCACCAATCAACAACACAAACGCTCCGACTGACCCAATTAGACTGCCCATCGCATTGGCAATTGATTTGAATTCACAACTGGCGCATTTAAACATATTTCTGTCATCACGTTCCGCGGAAGTGTCATCTGACGGTGCCACGTGGGACGGTGCGTTTGCGATGTTTCCACCAATCAACATCACAAACGCTCCGACTGACCCAATCAGACCGCCCATCGCATTGGCAATTGATTTGAATTCACAACTGGCGCGTTTAAACAAATTGCCACTAATGCTGAAGGGCATGCCACGAGGAGATGTGGTGGGCGCGCGCAAGTACACATAAGCAACATTCCTGAGAGGAGGCATTGGCCAATCAGACGATAACAGGTCGTTTGGTTGGCTACGCCGCCAAGGGCTAAGTTCGGATTGGTAAACAAGTGTGTTCGACACATGGAAGATTATGGTTGTGAGGGTGACGGCGAATTTAAACAAAGCGGGACAAGTAAACGCACGAAGTCTCAGACTACCAGGAGCCAATTTTAAACCAAAAAATTACTGACCTTTACGAGATGGCAAACACGGTTTTCGGCGTAAATGTCTCTCTCTCTCTCTCTCTCCCTGAACCATGCACTAACAGGGTGTGCGCAATTAATCTTTCTGGTTTGGATGACTATTAGGCACGACGGGGCCATCAAATTTACGCACTGTGTATGTGCACGTTATGCCGTACTGACACGGCGGCTAATAAACTAAAATGCAGGTTTGAACAAAAAAATTCTCTCATCCTACCTTGACGATGTACACGCCACTCTTTTCCGAAACAAATTCCGATTTTCCCCTTCAAAATAGAGGCCAATCATTGAACACTTTATACCTCTTTATGTTCGCCCAATTAGGTCATGCGCCTCGTTAATTGGTGGAGATGAAAACCACTCAAATTTGCAGATTTCAGAATGCCGTTTGTGGAGTTTACGAAATCGACAACTTGAGGTGCTAATTTACACCTGGTGTTAAACACTAACGGCTTCGGTTTGTGCACACAGAGGCAATGGGCGTCAGCATATCAGATAAACGCCCAACATCTCAGTAAACAGGAAATATGATGGACGAGTTTGGACAAGGTATTGAGTGCGATAAATCATCACACGAGAATTGTCAGTTGCAACTCGACGTGCACGAATTGAAATAAAGCCTACAGAGGTGGTACTAATCCACATGAGTGTTGGACGCGAGCAGCCAATCAGGTCTGTGTCTGATCAAGGTTTCAACGCGATTGGTCAGAGGGTGTGACAGGGTCTCTATTGGCACGAGTACATCCCGTGAGTCACAGCGAAAACTGAAAAACACACGAAGTCGTGCATTCCTTTCACATCTTAGCAAACATTAATTGTTCGTGTGCGTGTGAGAGTGTTTACACAACGTGTTCGAACTCAACTCATTAAACAACGGACGCTAATAAGCACTTGGAGACCTCGAATTGCTCAAGATCTCACGAATGCACCACGCAACTTGGAAAAAACCGAGTTACGGCGTTGTCAATTAAAACAACGGAAAAGAACTCACTTTAACCAGGAAGAAGGTAATGCCGTAGGTCTTGAGTGACCGGCAAAAATGACAGTACTTCACCCTTGCATCGATGTCAGACAGGCCGTTGAGTGTTGCGTGGTGCTGGGAGATCTTCTTCTCCACATTTTTTGTTTTAAGAAACTCCTTCGGTAGGAAATCCTTGAGGCTTAAAGCAAAAAAAAATTTGATTGAATTTTCGCTCCATTTAACAGAAAATTGAGTTTTTTTTTAAAGAGAAAAACAAAGCACCATCTCCAATCTCCAAAAGGAGGAAACAGAAGACTTTAGTAAAATGTTTGTGGAAAAAAATTCGACCAATCACGCGAACGCACGGTTGACCAATCACCTTCGAGTAGCGTTCACATTTTACGACTACATAACAGATAAACAGAACAAAATGGCTTTGGCCAGGATTCAAGTCTGAGTAAGTCGCGCTACTGAGAAAGTTCGTAGCGAATGCATAAACAACGGGGTGCAGGGTAAATATACTACTAATTTGCGCATCACTTGGTGAACTTAGTAGTATAACTTGGAGCGTTTTAGCTCAACCATGAACAGACATTAATCAGATTATTCCAAGGAGGGTATGTCAGATGCGGAAGTACATTTTTTTAGAAAAAAAGCGCAGCCGACAGGAATAACTAATCAGCCAATCAGCCACAAATCCAGTCCAGAAACCAACCCAGATTTTCCGCGATGACGTAAAATGCGGCAGTTTTCTGACATGACATGATCAACCTGGTCCCGATTTCGTCTTAGCGGTTATGAAACAAGGCCAGTGCAAGCGTAAAAGTAGCCTTTTTACCAGAAGGCGTGATTGTGCAGTTTCGTTCGGTTTACGAATGGAGACAAAAAGCACAAAACTGGGCCAATCATAGCAACCAAAATTTGTTTATAAATGTGAAAGAATGTGAGTTTTGTGTTGTACTTTTGCTACTGAATGATGACAAGACCTTATAAGAGAGTGGAGCGGGACAACTCTGCACGAGTCTGGGTTATAAGGCCTTCAGTTTGTACAAATCTGTCAATTTGAATTTAAACAAAGCACGATTGAAGTACACAGTTGCTTGGATTCCATTCCCTATTCCCTACTGGTCAAATTTAACCAATCAAAGTAAAGAAAAGGCAGCGTGTTAATTGGATAATTTTGGATGGCCTACATGGCATGCACGAAGCCTTATTTGCCTGCGTGTGGGTGTTTTACATGCCGCGTCCACTAAAGAGGGCTAGAAGTAGGCCTAGTTCTTACTATTTAAGGTACGAATTCTCACGCACGTAATCAACAACGAAAGAGGAGTCACCAAATATCAGCCAATCAGAAGCGCAGAGCTTTTATTGTACGTGGTCGCACCTCCGGCAAATCCTGCTTTCATGTGAAAAAAAAGATATTCTAAAGGAATCAGATAAGGGGGTTTTAAAACTCACTCGATGTAGCCAGGTCGAAATTTCGCTGGACTGTAGTTGCCTAACTCGACTTGACATTGAAGCGCAGCGAGTGTGACAGCTTCTTCTAGGGTGACGGGGTGAGTGCCGTTAAGAATGGCATCTTTGAGCTGTTGAAAAGGACGAAAAACCGACGGATTAAACCGATCCAAAACTCTCGACTAGGTGATCTGTGAGACGTAAGGACACTATACAAGATGCCGAGATTCAAAAGTAACATACAGGAGTCTGTTCATTGGCATTTCTGACAGAAAAACAGCAAATTAACATGTAGATTTGCTAAAATGGGTGGTTTAGTTGAGAACACTGATGTAGGTGCACAGGACTTCAATACAAATGCGCATTTATAACACAAACACACTACGAGAGAAAGTACAGGATTCAGGACTATTGAAACAAAGCAATCATTAACTCATTCGGTTTGTAGGACACTTTAGGACAGGTTTTGTGTATACAACCAGTCTGCAAGACAAATCAACCTGTAAAGCCAGTAATTTTCGCGCCCTATTTGTCATACATACCACACTCAAATCGACTGCGCATTCTGTAATGCCCGCCTAACACTGGCTCACTCAAACTTTGTGAGTATTGATTGTCAAGGTCACGACGAGCACACACTTCCCATACTAGGAGGCACTAAAGGGTTTAGTACGAAATAAAAGCGTCAAGAGGCACGGGAAGTGAGGCCAATCAAGGTCACAAGACAGATCGATATTCTGATTGGCTAGGCTACCATTTTTAAAATTTGCGCGAGCATATGGTTGAAATAGGCCCGCGGGAACAGAGTTCACGTGTGGTTTTTTTCCGGTGTGGGAGCAGTCACGCGATAGAGAATGCTTTCCAAAGGACATGCGTAAACACACACTCATCAGGGAGAGGCACAAGCCAAAAAATATTGGGGCGCATCTGCACTTAAAAAACGCGCCAGCATTTGATTGGGCGATTTCTCGGGCACAAAGTGCAAGACACGCCTCTATGTACACAACAGATGTAATTAACGTCAAAATCAAACGTGCGGTGGCGGGTGGGGCTTGGTAGTTAAGGATATCATATAACCAAATATGTTTAAAAGAGTCCAGATGAGTTGATGCCAAAAAATTCAAATATTTTTAAAATTAAACACCTATTATTTTGGGTGTGGCAATTTTTCTAGGAAGCAGCTACAATTGGTGACGCACAGTAGACTTGTGATTGACGCCCTTTGTTTTGCCTTAGTGTGAAAGGCGCGCCGATTTTGCAAACGAGACGACAGCCAATCGATAAAACCCAGACCCAATTCGTTCCTGAATCGACCAATCACATGTCTGGTTTGTTTTTATTTCGCAGGTGTGCTTCAGTGTGGACCCTGCTTCAGCTGGAGAAGGACTTGTCCTGGAAATTTGTGTAACTAATCAAATCACTGTTTGGCGATATTTACTGTGTGTGCAGGATCAGTTATCACATCACGCCAAAACACATGAAGGTCAGATTTCGACAATAACGCTCAATCTACGCGAACTAATGCTTAGACGGAGACGCGCACTTAACCACCAACATATATGGATTCGAAGCAAGATTCGGTGAATGAATACGAACGAGAGTTTCCTGCGCAGCACGTGGAATACGATAGGCTAGCGTGGGGCGCACTACGTTAAAACAAACATGGCCTACAATACCTCTCACATTACGGCAGTACACACACACACACACAAACAAACACGCCTTTACTTGCGCCGGCTGCCAACCCACAAATTGGCACAAACGTTTTACTGCTACGAAAGGCAACAGCGATGGAGCTAATCACGCATCACTCAGGAGGTGTTCGAGACAAGAAAACTCCCACTTGCGAATTTGGGATTCGACAGGCAAATATCTGAATGAGGACCCACAGGCATAAGTGCATGATTGAGTTATTTTTTCGAAACTGCAATCCCAATCTGCCGCGCTCTCGCCCCATTGGCTGATATCTGATGTTAAAAGCAGACCCCAGGCACCTGATTGGACGATAGACGGGGGATTCAATTTACGGGCATTTTATTTGAACGAATAATGCCGCGTCTCGAACTCACCTGGACGTAGAGCAAGTTCAGCTGCACTGGGTCCCTGGCGTCAACGTTCATGTCGGAGAAGAAGTAGCGTCGTCGAAGCAGTAGGATTTCCTTCTCGTCAATGCCCTGCTGCCGAAGACTCTGAGCTGGATTCAGCCAGACGACTTAATTGGGTTGGGGGGGAGGGAAGAAGAGGTGAAATTGATTGGCGGACATGAATCATGGGACAGTAATTGATGCCGCACATATCGATTAAGACAGACGGTTTGATGGACAAGCATTTCAACCAATCCGTGAAGCGATTTGCACCCGCATCAGTAGGCATTCAGTTCGTGAGTATGGGATGGTGGGTTGTGTAAACTACCGACGTTATCAAGTCGCTGTTTATGCTGTCTTTGTCACGGATCTTCCTCGTTAACGTTCATTATTCAACCTCCGTTTCCAGAGTAGTTTGCTACAAATAAGCCATGTTTCCTCTCCAAATACGACGATGGGACCATTGGTTACAAATCGTATTCACAACAACTGCACCTAGCTGCATGATTAGGAGCGAATATAGGCGATCAGCAGGGGCTGGAATTAGGTTACGTGATAAGTACAACGTAGATTCCACCAGAATTCCGTTCTTGCATGAATATACAAGTCGACAACTCACCTTCATCATCAGTGTGAAGCTCCTTTCGCAGCTTCTCCATCTTGTCGGCGTCACGAAGGGTTCCAACAAGACCGCCGGCCTGATGAGCTCGACGCATGGTCATCGTGCGTTCCTTCTCAGCTTCCTCCGTATCACGGACCAAGAGGTACTCCTCGTAGTTGTAGATGCCTACGATTTGAGCACCAACAAGCAAGCGTCAGCACAAAGAACCAAGTTCTCATGCGCAAGTCTTGAAAAAACTCAATGCTTAGGGCATCCAAGAGTCGTGATCCGGGTGGATGAGGATCATTGGTTGATCAGTGATCCATTCCATTTAGTGCGTGTGCACGTACTCCAACAGGCGTTACAAAAAAATCCAGAGGCTAATGGTTTATAGGTCCTTTAGATGTAGACAACTTTCTTGCGGAACGAACTCACCTGAACTAGCGAATTGAAAGACACCGTCTTCTTTAAAGTATCCACAGACGGTCTAAGTAACTAATTTCAAGTAAAATGCAACCTAATCCAGCAAGACAAGTGTGTACTTGGTGGTTGGAAGTGGCTCAGAACGCGACACACCCAGACACAAGGAACCGACAAACAGGGTGCGAGCTGTCACAGCCACTGCATGGACAGTTTTGCTGCCAGACGGTTAGCTGGGAGGTGGGGCGCGTGAGTCATCGATTTGCCCGGTAAAACGGGGCGCACGCGAGTGACTCAGGCGGGTAGTGTGGTGGCGGTTGGTGTTCCCACTGTGAAGGCTGTTGAACACGTGCAGATTTGCTGCGTTAAAACGCTCACACTTGAAGAAACGCCTCCACTTCCCACTAATTACCTCTCTCTTGAGCTGTAGAATCGCGAAAATTAAAAAAAAACGCATAGTGCTTACGGCAAAAATAGCAGAAAACGCTGTTTACCCATTTTGGTGCAGATAGGAAGCATGAGTTCTGCAACGGTCTTGCTATCATCCACTCGCAGTGTCTTGCGAGTTCCGTCCATCGTGCGGATGTAGAGCCATCGAAAGCGATATTTGTATTCTATTGTGTCCTGAAAAGCAATTAAAAACCGATTAGAAAAACACCGGTTTGGTGTTAGTCAGTTTCGCTGAATTACAGTTTGTTTACTTAACGCGGAAATTTTGAGTGCACTTAATGGGAAACAGTTGATTGGATAGAACCCTCACGCCCAATCACAGATCAGCATGATGACGTCATTCATGACGATTTGTTGATAGCATATTTTGGCGTTCCCTAGGGGCAATAGATTCCTGAGAGGCGTAAGCAGGTTATGGCAGCGTAATAACTGGCATGGCGATCGCAAGGAACCAGTTTAATGGCTGTTAGCTCGAGCAGATGTCGCTAGCAGAAGGATAATTACATGCACATGTGTGAGGAGGATGGGGCGAATTGTGCGCGCGGATCACTCCCAATTCACAGCATATAATTGATCGAATCGGGAACTGGCCCCGTAAGCAATGAAACGTCCAGTTTCATCATTAATCACCTGATTGTCTGGCGCTCCTCGTGAGTGTTTCAATAATCGATAACAGACTCCAAATTCAAAATGCGAGGGTGGGGGCTCATAGTACACCGCTCTAGTCCCCCACCCAGACATCAGAGGTCTGCTTGGACTTCCAGCACGGAAGTATCAGAAGAGTCGTTGAATTGGGCGGCGAGAAAGTCGCTGGCAGTTTTCAATGATGATTTTAATGGCCCTGACGATGTGTGAGGCAAGATGCAAAGACCAAATTTCAAGAAAAGCGTGAAGTTGCCTCTCAAACCATCTTGTTGCTGTGGTGAGCTCTGAGTGGCTCGATTTCGGAGGAAACCTAAGACATTTCGCCAACTATAATCACCTTGACGAATCACAGTGAAGCACTATGCACACTCCCCAAAAAAAACGTACGTCATAAACGCATACACACACTGTTCTGCGGGTAATTAAATTCACAAGGTTAAAGACCTCGATGCAGGATGAGTCATTATGGAGGTCAAACATGACCAGGGGTCCACAGACGTCATGAATGGAAGAAGCCGGTGGTTGGTTTCTGTGGGCTGAAGGCGATAAGGCAGAACTTGGAAAGTTGCATATTTGCGCTGTTGTGGTGAAAGGACATTCCGGCTAGCAAAACGTGCCGGCTTATGATTGGTCGAGCATTCGACCTCTGACCTGGTGCGTCGTGAAACTGCGATATCACTTGAATTTGACGGCAAGCGCGAAGCAGAAGTGGTTGAGGTCAAGCAGAATATTCCGGAAGCCCAGTAAGAAGATCAAAGTGGTTTGAAAAAAAAGACCATTCGAAGAACCATGCCACACCATCACAAAGAACGGTGTCGCCTGAAAAGGCCAGTGGCATCTGTGGGCGCGTAAATCCATACGACGATGACGTTAAAACAATGACCATAAACGCCCTAGCTTGTAAAATTGTGCACAAGCTTAAAACAAACGCAGGTTAGAGGTAGAATCCGCGTTTTTTAAGTCCTTAATTACCACGTGATGCTTGCGTTTAAGTGGCGAGGTTGTTTGTTTAAATTCGCTGCAACGACAACCAATCAAAGGGTGTTTACGTTGGAAAATTTACGTGAAAAATCGATCACGATATGGATATGGATCGGCCGCAGACATAAAAACGGCTGAGTGCCAACATCAAAGCGGCCAAGATTGTAGATAATTGTACAGATTTGGTAGTCGCAATTAAATAAAACATGTTTCTAAAACAACATAGAGAAGGGAAAAGGGAAAAGAGAGAAATTCTGTAGGCACCGTAGCAAACCGATCGGCAAACCCACACACACACATAACTGTTGTGGGGAAACGTCGATCAATGACCCAATGGGATGACACGAGTGGCTAGTGGGACAGACACAAGTCAGAACGGACACGTGGACACACAATGCGGGTAAACTTACATGCAGCCTAACCCACCCACCCGCCCCTACAAAACAAGTGCGAACCCGTTTTCGGTAATTGCCCAGTTGTGTCAGAGGCGCGCGCACACGAATAAGCGCTGAGTTTTAAAAAGTTTGCCGAAGTTGAGAAAATGTACAGCATGTTTTTTTTTCGAACAAAGAAATGTAGAAGCTTGAAATGACTAACCCCATTGCGCAGGATGTAGTGTTCCAGACTACGCGAATTGTCCAACCAAAGGCCTTTTTTGTTGTCTTCGTGTGGGAGGAAGAGGCCGTATTCTTTGGCTTTAAAAAAAGAACATAGAAAAAGAGGTGCACAATGATTGGCTGATGACTCCAGCACTGACCAATCAAAAGTGGCGACGTTCCAGACCGAGTTACTTACGGTTTTCAAGGCCGTCGATTTCACGGATTTGGTGGCGAATCTGGTCGCAGGCCTGGCCAACCGTCATGAGGGCGTCGAAGACGAGGGCTTTGGTGACGTCGGCATCTGGAACGCTGACTCGGAGAGCAAGTCGACGACTGTCTCCAACCATTGGTGGGCTATAGGGGCGGAAAACCGCTATTAAACAACCAACGGGAATTACACGAATGCACTCAACAAGACAACATCTACAACTAATTCACAGGGCAACGCAAATGCAAACGAGATAGGAAAGGGGGCGTTTGAGGAAAAATATATGCAAACTGAAAGTTCGGCTTCGCTCCAAGTCACAGCAATGAACGAGCGATATGATTGGCGGGTTCAAATCAAGCGCGCGCGCATTACCAGGGCGCAACTGTGTTCTCCGAGCACGACTCAATGCCATTTGTGGACAAATCCCCTCGTGTACTTGAGCAGTAGCAATAACCAGACGCCTCTAATTGGTTGGCTTTGAGAACGTTTCTAATTGGGCGGAGTATACAGCCAGCCAATTGCATCAGTGCACCAGATTATTGTGAGCGCACAAAATCATGCAACGTTCAACCATAGTTTTCGATAGAGGTTGTTTTATGTACAATAAAGTCGTGTAGATAACTAGCTCCAAATAGTGGATGTGGTCAAGTGGAACTCGAACTAGCCGGATCCTAATTTGATTGGGCAACTGGGCTGTGCAAGCTCCAGGTGCATCTGTAAAGCGATGTGGCTCAACCATGAGCAAATCAGGGTGGAGTGAGACGTCTCGACACGCACGCACACACAAACACACAGAAGTTGATGCTGATTTCGTGTAAGGTAATTGACGGGACCAGGCTTGCTAATTCCGGGGTTCTGACGTAGGCGACTCAAGACACTGGCGCAGGTTGGTGCGTGCACACAAGCAGGGCACTCCCTCGTCATGGTAAATGTTGCAGGCAGGGGAACTAGATGGGTGTCCACGCCGTCAATTTATCATCAACAAACAAGCAGTCCATAAGTCAGGGGGAGTAGAGCGAGTCCTGAGAACGCCTCCAGTAGTGAAATCCACTTCAAACTCTTCCCACATTGGCAAATTTCTCATTGGTCAATCGAAACAAGGTGGATAGCCAATCGAATTGCAAGTTGGTGCTCATCGTGTCGGAAAAATCAAGTGTGTTGCTCGTCACCTGCACATGCGGGGCATGCCGTGACCCGCATAGAAGTGATTCGCAAGCATTGCAAGAGCGAGGACCAGCAACCAAGTCAAAACGCTAAAATTATCTTCTAATTCAGAGTCCATTTCGTCATTTGTCTCTACACATTTAACTATGGACAATAAATCACTTCAGATGATCTCTTTCCCAGAACCTTTAGGTACAAATTAGAACTTGGCGGATAAATAAATCAGGTTGGGTCAATGTATAACTGAATTTTGAGCTGAAATGCAAGCAAACTGATAAAATGTCAGTTAAAGAATGAGCAGGCTGTTTAAATTGCGCAGGTAATCATTAGATGAATCACACACACACGCACACACGACACAGCGATTAAAGGATTTTGTTACTTTAAACTGAAAAAACAGCTGGCGACAAAAAAAAGTGGAAACGACTTGGCGAAACCGCATGCAGTCGGAAATTCAAATCACAACCTATTAAAACTTACCCAGCAGGAAAGGCCCAAGGCATTCTGGAGGAATTTTAGAAACACGTTTAGCAAAAACGTGGGAAGGATTTAAAAACAAAGAAGTTGGTGGTAATGAATAGCAACTGCTAAATTAATTATGAAGACGATAAAACATAAAGAACAGAAAGGTGACTAGAAATGTCACCATGCAACTGTTGTAAAACAAAAATTCTAGTAAGTTGGATAGCCAAAAATACAAGGTCTTGAATGAACTCAAAGTATATACAGTTCCCTAACACTATAAATCAAAATGCCAGACGAATACGTGTTCAAGATCAGGTTAAATACGCTTGTTACGCGCCAAATCTTAATTTTAGGCATGCTTTTTGAAGGGATGGATATTCATATATTGTCACCTGAAAATCTTGCAGTGAACATTACGGAACAAAAGTAAACTTAGTTTCTAAACACTGCAATTAATTGAGGCCACACAAGACCAGGAAGGAAATAAGAAACCTATAACTTGCAACCACTACAATATTTTGTGGTGAGAGAAAAGGGGATGATGATAGAAAATGACGTTTAATAACTTAGTGTTTAGTTATTCTTAATACGACAGAGACCAAACAGCAGCACATACAAAGAACGCGTGTGACCAAAATATGAATTCTTAAAACCGAATAGGTACAACTAGCTGACACATGAAATAGGTGCGATAAGAAATAAAACAAACATCGGTATCCTATGGTTTGCAATATTTGGTAAGAAATACAATATAAAAACCTGGCAATATATCAGTTGTATCAAAACGTTATACTTTAAGACTTATAACTAA